CAACCCTCGCCAACCCTACACATCCAAAGACAGAGAGAGAGAGGGAGAGAGACAGTAAAACAGCTGTCGAAGTCGATCGGGTCGACCTAGCCTCGGTCGTCAACTCGCTTTCTTTTTCTTCGCCTACAAGCGTTTGAATAGGGGCGCGGGAAAACTACTTGTGTGATGCGGCACGCGTAATACCGGAAAAGGCCTTCGGGTAGTTCTAGAGCGCCGCCAGAATTGGGTCGCTGGAGTCGCGTTTTAGTTGCCACTTTACTATTGAAGATTCTTAAGTGGCAAAAGAGTTTATGACGAAATATACCCCCACCGCAACAAACCTGCAGACTATTTAATTTCTATTTGCCTGATTGGATTTACACTAAAATGACTTTTTGAAAATATCATAGTTATTCCATATTTAAATAGAATAAGTTTAACAAGTACTTAGGTTTGCTGCAACAGGGAGGGTAAAAGTGTGTTTTTTTTTGTAAAATAATAACATTTTATAAATAAATAAATGATTTTTTTCTAATTTAATGCAAATATTTTCATAAACAAGAAAACTACTACAGTTTACTTATTCCCTGGTGTGAGTGAGGGTATACATTCAACTCTAGAAAATACGCTGGTCAACGAACGACAAAGAGCCGCCGATGTCTAGAGTTTCCTTGGATGGGTGGCTGACCGACCGGTGGTCATAGGGTGACGACACAAAGGGGGTGGTAGGCGGGTATCCGTGTCGGCCAGTGAGTCAGTGTTACCGGTGTTACTTCAAAGATGAATTATTGCCCTCGGGGAATCCCGAGGTAGGCGCGGCGCCGCCAGCTCGACACTTGTTTCGGTCACTGGTCTTGGTTGATTGTTTCGTTTTCGTTTTACTATCTTTTGATACTTTTACATAAACGATATAGCCATGATATATTACTAATGAAAATTCAATAAGTACATTGCACACTATAAAAAAAAACTTACATATAGGATAGTTCATGTAAACAGTTGTTGCTTAACCCTTTCAGTGCTATGAAACGATATATCGTTGTTTTAAAAAAACCCTAAGGGATATAGAGAGGAAGGTTATTTAAAAAAAAAATAGCAAAACGGCCATTGGTGACCTGCATGTTCATAGGATACACTACCAACCACTTAGCTAAAAGATTCGCCCAATCCGATGATTTCGAGGTGTATGTCTAAACCAAGGATTATGAACACCTCACTATGCCCCAGTGGTTGTAGTATATCGCTACAAACACACAGGTCACCAATTATTTGCCACACAGGACGGGATTCGAACCCGAGCAGACGAATGCCACCGGCCAAGTGACACACGCCCTAGCCTTCTCGGCTATCTGTGCTTGAAGACTGGGGAGTCAAAACCCGGTATTTAAGCTGTCGCCACCGATTGCGAACAGATGGCGCTGCAGATAGTTGTTCAATGCGTTACTAGGTAGCAGCACCAGCTAGTCACGGACTATTTAGATGCAATCTTTTAGTTTTAGTAGTAGTAAATGTGTTCCTGAGACTTTGCTGCAAAACATTAGTTTCCCTAAAATTGCTATATTACAATAACCTCGTCCAACTAAATCAGGGTTAAATTCAATATTAAATTGTAAACTATATGTCTTTTGATTTTGTGAGATTTCGGTTTCAAATAATGCTATCAGAACATAAAAATTTATAGGAAAACCAGGAAAATTACAACAAAAACTAAGTTTTATTTGATGTTTACTACAAATACCGGGATTTATCTTTTTTATATATTTTCTTATTGTGTTATTATTCAAAATTAGCCTAATTAATAAAATAGTGACAACATGACAGTTAAAATTCAACAACGGGTAATGGAATTAAAAGGCAAACAAAAAAGTCTTATAAAATATGAATTATTGGCCTAGCACTGAAAGGGTTAAATCGTTTGGAACTCTGGCCACGTCTATATTCTTCATTAGAGTGAACTTAACTGCAGGCTATTCAATAGACTGTGAAAAAAAACTGTGAATGATTTTATGTACTTGGTTTTTTTTTTTTAATTATAGCAAAAGCTACCAATCTTTGTCATCCGCGTCATAATTCTTGAGCTAACTACTTCTGCAGTGATATACCTTACACGTCACAAAACTGTATTAACCCTAGATCCAGTACCTCTGCTCCAACTAGTATTATAACATTGCCGTCCAGGAATCTTTGAACATATAGTTTGACAATAATTGCATGGATAGTACAGCCGTTTCAAGAAGGATTTATTTACTATATGTTCTTAAAACTGAAATTAATTAGAAATACTATTAAAATAAATTAAATTAATTAATTTGATGTGAATTTAGCTTTAGTTAACAACACTCATACAAGATCATAAACATAAACCAAATACAATTTTTTTAATAGAAACGATTTGCAGGGTCGTCCAGATGAACTTGGAAATAGTACCATAGATAAAAGGAGTAGACATACTCTGTCATACATACATGTCTATACTCCTTTTATCTATGATAGTTCATTAGAAAATCTGAATATACAGTAGTGCCGTGCATTTGAAGTACTTACTCAGAACACAGACTTACTTGAGGACAGTTAAACAATAAAACGCAAAGATCCACGGAAGTAAAGACTACATTATTTAGTAAAAAAAAAAACAAGGATGCGTCAGTTAGGGCCAGTTAGACAATTGAAGTACACAGAATTGAATCACCATAGTATTGTCCACGCAACAACGTGAGAGGATAAAACATGTACTTCTTCAATTATAATTACATGTTTCTGTGTAAAACCGAAGACGTCTACAGACTTTACTAAGAAAAACTTCTCCCCGGTAACACAGGCAATGGGAATTCCTTCTAGACAAGGTTTTCAATAGGCCTACAACAAAATCATAAAACAAAAAATGTTTCTCAGGCTAAGTAGCACACTGTGCACTTCAGCAAATAAATAGTTTACCGAGATAACTATTGCTTACCAAGACAGCAGTGTCATTTAAGGAGAAATAGTACAAACTAATGTCACCAAAAGTCTAAATTCATTCTTTATTTTATTTTTTTAAGAGAGGGAAAAATAGACAACAAAGCTTTAAATAACCGGTATTATCAATTTGTATTTATCTCTCAATTGAATAAATGTAACGGTAGTTACCTCACCACTGTTAACAATATTTGACCCTCCTATTACATAAATATGTTAGTTAATTTAATATTCAAACTCGTGTACATGTTGCTCGAATTCGAGCAATTTCAAAGTAATACAGAATTTATTTCAAAACGAAAAAAAGTAATAATCAATGAGTTTAAAAGAGTCAACTCAAAGATCACCAGTGTGTAACTGCTGGAGATACTCACGATGTATATACAGTAATCAACATTTCCTGTAAATATTTTATCATATTTCATAAATTGGTATTGCTTTTTAATGTTTCTACAAATGTTTCCTGACTTATAGCTGCATAAGGTTGTCCATGTTTATCTTATTTATTGATAAACCTATGTATGGCACCACCCTTGTCGCCAGCAGTAAGTTTACAAATTTCAGTAATTTTTTAATAAAGATAAACACTTTTTTGATCATATTAAGGACTTCCTGTTGTCTGTAACAATTTTATTTGTTCAATCGGCGTATTTTTATTTATTTAGCTAAATAAAACATTTATTTCATTGAAGTAAACTAATATAGGCCTATTTATATTCACTGTACTGTGTATAACAAAATATCGATTGAGAAACAAACAATTACACGTAATAAGAACCTCGCTAGTCCGCTGCATTGTGATAGCTGAAAATCGTCGGAATGAAAACCGCCGCTACAAGATACAGAAGTTGGTACGCCTGCAGTGCCCTCCACAGCTGCGCGCGCCGCTGGCACTGCCGCTCAACACATCCCCACCTAAAAGACGAGCAAGTGGTAAGTCGGTCGGGAGGATTGACGACAAGTTGGTTTCTCGTATATAATAATTTAGATTTACAGGCCGGTCAACTGGACTGACGATGAAATAACTTGTCGACGTACTGGTTTTCAGTATTTATCTATTTAATTAAAAAAGACGGTCTAGTGGCAAGACGACCAAGTATCTTGTCGGTCAACTGGTGGCCCCCCACACGTCACACGTTATAAAAATAAGTGTGCCTATATTGAATTCCTTGTGGACTGGACCATTGTTAACTTAAAAACCCCCGCTGCAGCAAACCTGTCGACTAAGCGAATTTCCATTTGCCTGGATTGATTTTCAAATCTATTAAATTAACATTTATGTTTAACGAGTACCTAAACGAATAAAGTGTGTTTTTTTTATTAAAATATCAATAGCTTAGTATGAAATAAATAAATCCGCCAAGTTTGATAAAAATATATCCATAAACAAGCCAACTACAAAATTTTACAATATTCTCCATAAGAATAACATGGGAATTTAAAATTACCATTTGGCTGCACTTTACTTGACGTCCTACACTCATTCGATTGTTTTTTCGATTCGATATTTTCATTCGATTGTTTCATTCGATATATCGTTTGGTTAGTTAGATTAGGTTAACCTTACCTAACTAACCAATTTTACAATATTCTCCATAAGAATTACATGGGAATTTTAAATTTTCAATTTTTTGGAATTTGCTCCGTAACCATTAAGCGCTTAATACAACGCTTCAATATACTAAATTATTTGGGTTTTTTTTAGTTCTACAAAATTGTTTGGATAGAAATTTTATATATGAATTTGAACGGATTGTGTTTTTGGCCTCTAGGGACGTCAAAATAAAAAGTATATCGGTCCCGGGTACCTAGGTCTTACCATGAGTACTACGTAATAGCTTATTCCCTATATGGGAAATTCGCTAAAATGATCGAAACATGTTCAGATAGTGATTGAATCGTTGAGAGCACTCAAAAGACAAAGATTATATTGTTACCATTCATGTGTGTGATGCGGGTGCGGGATGATGCGTACAACGGCAGGTAGCGACTGCGCTTGCTTAACACTTATACTCTGTGACGTAACCAAGGCCGGCCCACTTTCATGGCTCAGTCAGTCAGTGGGCCAAGCGCCTGCTGCAATCATCTATCTGCTGGACATGGCTTCTACCGGCATCAGCATAGCTCTTCTGATAGTGGTAAGTATTTACACCGACTTAAAATAGCGAAAATAGAATTTCATCTGACGGTATCGTGTTATCTGAAGACTTTTGGACGCATTTCATGCTTGGCTACGCCGACGTCGACTACAAGTAGGCTACTTAGGAATGGATCAGTGTCACTGGACTTGAACTAGACATGATAAACGAGCTTCAAAATTTACAATGAGATTAAAAGTCTACTTGTGCTAATAGTCGGTCTATGGTAGATTTACAATCGATATATTTGAAATATTGTAATTTTGTACGTAGTTTTTTCATCCAAATAATTGTCTTAAAAGCATATTAATTGTTTTCTTGAATCTAAATATTTCTCAACTAAGAAGCAATCTTTAAAAGGTAAAAGGCTTTTGCATTATTCGTTTTGCATCGGAAACTAGCTTTGAGCCCTAATTAAAATTGACATGGCCCTCTCGTTTATTATAATTGACCTAACAATATTGAAACAATACATTTTTAACAGTATTGAATATACAACTATAGTTCGGCCGCTTAGAAAACGACCTGCGCGCTAATGCTAAACCAATGCTAGAGGAGGTCGCTTTCTAAGCGGCCGAACTATATTTATTAGACCTTATGAGGATTTTACTTAAATTATTAAAAATATCCATTTACAGTATACACGTTTACAGACTTTTAGCGAATCTCCCTAGAAAAGTACCTATTATCGTAGGTAAGACTAGACCTGGGACCGATATCCCTTTTCATTTTGATGTCTCCAGAGGCCAAAAACACTATTCATTCGGAATTGTATCTACGTATAATTTATTAAATATTTGGTTTCAGCACTTGCTAAAACTTGAATGAGTTCGCGAAACAGCAAGATCCGGTCATAGAAACATGGTATTACGGTATAGGGTTTTATAATGTTCCAAACATTTTTATTTTTAATTTGTTCTCTTAAAATATGGTAATGCTCATTTTTCATTACAGCCATCGTGTAGAGTTTAAAACAACAAATAATTTTGTATATTGAAGTGTTGTACAATTAAACTTAACGGAGAAAATCCCAAAAAAAAACTGTACATTTTTATTCCCAAGTTATTCTAATAGAGAAAAAGAAAACTTTCGTAGCTTACTTGTTTATGGATTGATCAAATCTGGTGAATTTATTGATTTCGTCCTATACTATACTCATTTGGTCAAAAACACTGTTAACCTACCCCGTAGCAGCAAACCTAAGCACTCGTGAAATCGAATGTTTTTTTTTATGTGGTATAAATATAATATTAAAGGTATATATAATAACTTAATATTTAATATAATACTAGAGCTCGCCCCGTGGTCAAAAACTCGACCAAAAGTATATATTGTGATGTTTGCACTCTATTTTTACCCCTCACTGTAAATAAAACCTGTGATTGGGATTTATTCAATTTGTTTTGTTTTTCTGTTTATATTTTGTTGTTATTTCGTCACCAACATGGCAACCCATAAAGCCCATGTTATTTTTTATATTTTAAATTCATTTTTGTGTTTTTTTATTCTATTTTAATTTATAAAAGATTTTGCACGTCTACAGACAAATAGCTTTCTAACAGTAGGGTATTTTCCCTGCGATGCACACGAGCTGAAGATAAAGGTTTCCAATTATTTAAACACACTTGTCTATTAATTATATACGAGTGGTCGTCCAGTGGTCGAAAACTCGACCAAAAATATATAGGTAATGTATACGCATTGACTATTGGATACTGAAGTAGACATCCCATCTAGGACCAGCTGTCGCAATTTTTTTAAATTAAAAAACATGTAGTTGTGTGAGCCAGTCACAAAATGAGTGTCTAAATTCTATGTTATAGGCTAGGTACCTTATTTTTTGTTGCTGACAAAGTTGATGGGTCATAACAGTTGCTATAACTCATAATAAGTCATTCTAAAAGTTTGACTTGGTAAAGCACATTGTGTGTATTCGACAAAAATTAGTCATTTAGATTAATCTTTTAGTGGCTCACTTCAACTACGATGAATTATGAATTTAATTAAAAAACTGGCGACAAAGTGAAATTAGTAAAAATAGTTTTTAAACGGAGGTCTCGGCTCGTATTATTGACAAATTATGAGTATTAAATTGTTGACCCTGCAAGGTCTGCCTTTATGTTATGCACTAGATTTTTCACATAAAGACATAATTTCAGATTTCCGGCGTTTTTTACTAGATTTGTGCTCAATTTAATAATGTAGAATGTTTGAAAAATAGCAGAATGAAGATGGATAGAAAAACACTTTAAGTATACATTTAGACTTTGAGTATATAATTTTTAGAGTCACATTCAAAGACTGGTTTTTAAATCTAGGATTGAATTAATATCTGTAAGCATGGTCAAATAACGCATTATTATCGTAATATCATAAGTAAAATATGAGAAATTTGCTATAAACTACTTAACATTTTTATTTAGATTTCTATACACTTTAAATACTGGTACATAATATTGTTCCTTGACATTTAAAAGACGTAGGGAATAATAACAACTGACGTAAAAACAGATTACTGTATTGTGACGGGTTGCGAGAGATAGTGTAACGGAACGTGTTGCACAACCATAGTTCTTTTGCTAGTGTATCTAGGACCTTTGGCTCTCAAAGAAACGGCAGAGTAAAGGCCGGTATCCACAGTGCGAGGCAGCTCGCTGCGAATGCCTCGTTGCGAATGCTCGGCTTTGCCTCGGACTGTGGATACCGGGGTTGCTCACTGCGAGCACCTGTGCGGCGCTCGCGTCGCACAATGTGAGGCGAGCCGTGTACTTGTCGGTCTCAGAGCAGTGCTCAAAGGTGCCTCACCCCGAGCTGTGCGTTAAGTGGATACCTGCACTGTCTGCCTCGCACCGTACCAGACTGTTCTCTGCAAACCATTCCACGCGAAACTGTCATCATGGATACTCATGATAGAATAAAGAGATTAGTGAAGTGTTACGAAAGTAAACGTTTGTTTTGGGAGTCTAAACACCGAGAGTATTATAATAAGTTTAAGAGAGAAGACTTGTGGCGCGAAATATCGCAGTCAATGAATGTTCCGGTGAAAGATCTGAAAAAGAAGATTTACGTCTCTGTTGGGGTCTTACCGACGTGAAAGGTCGAGGCTATAGTAATCAAGAATCTCAGATTACTATCTCAGAGTATAAGAATTTAAGAATCTCAGAATATAAGAATCTCAGAGTAACAGCTAATCTTTCCTTGGTCGTAATAGCACTTCGCATGTAGGTATCGCGTTTTTTCACGGCAGGCTCTATCAATGTAATTAAATGTTCAAAATCTTCATTGGACATTCGCAAGAAATTTGTCACGTCTTCTTCGAACCTCACGTCTTCTAGGAGTCTGTTCCCATATTCAAACCGATTTCGATCAATCTTTTTGACCCAACAACGATGTTTACGTCGCTTTTTCTGTTGCTTTTTATTAATAATCGTTGCCATCACAATAAAAGCAGCAGCAGAAACTTGCACTTTTCTATGGAAAAACACCATTGTACCGACTGTCTTAACTACGAATGCGGGTGGCTCGCGCCATGTTCGCGTGCTCGCAGTGAGCATTCGTGGTTACAAACTAGCTGCCAGCTAAAGAGCTCACCCTGAGGCAGATGGCACGAGGCATTCGCAGCGAGCAGCCTCGCACTGTGGATACCCGGCTTTAATCTCAAATTGCCCTTAAACAACCGCAGCGTTGGTAATAAAAAATCCGTCGCAAACCATGAATTAATTGTAAAGTCGTATTTATTTATTTCAGGCTTAATTTTGTGTTGTTTATTGATACATGTTTAGTTTTGTCGTTGGTTCTGACACATGCATGTGGATGTGGTGTGATGTAACGTCTGAAATGTTTTGTTGTCGCAGTTCCACTCGAGTAGTCACACTTTCACAGTTCAAGGTCTTTCTTGAGTCTTTTACCAGATTCCCAGTCATAAATAGGAATATCGAACCGTTCATTTTCCCAAACTAAACTGTTTATATTCTGGCTTGATGATATTCTCAAGCAGAACAAAAAAGATCTGTATACATATTTGATTAAACGTGTGCAGTTAAAAAATCAAGCCATTTGAGCTCATTGGTGACGTGATTTCTCAAAGGATATTTACCGGAACTTTTGTTATCCCAAAGATAAGTGGGCTTTATAGCTTATGCGATTTTCATCACATCGATGTTGATTCAAGAGTATGACAAATAGAATAAATGGTCGATTTTCTGCAAACTCCTGCAGGGATATGTATATCGTTTGACTTTAGTGAAACAGTTCTACTGCACAGAAAAGGTTCTCGTCGCCTTTGGATTTTCTAGATAGGTAGACCCACAACTTTGGTGGGCTCCGAACCACCTTCTAGTTACAACCACTTCTAGCTCTTGGGGATACCGGGCTTCCCGCACTACAGTGTAGGCTCCACGAATATTACAACTTCTGTTCTAATATTCGTCTTATCACTACTGGACCAGTTTTGACATCATTGAGTTTGTGCAAGTTGTGTCTTTATGCTGTGTTTTTTAGGTTACGTTCATGCGCATTTAATTTCAAACGTATTTCATTACAATCATTTCGTGCCATGACCGATGGAAACGTTATACGCCTGTCACTGCTGCGGTCAAGCAACGTCACCACCGATAAATTCGTTAGCGAATTTTAAATATCCGATCCAACGATAAGAGAATTTACAACAAAGATAATTCATATTGTTTATGAATAATTGGTAATAAACAATAATACAGCCATGCTTCCAGTCAAGTGATTTTAGTATCCAAAAGGCAAGATGTAATTAAATTGTAAATTGAACTAATTAGACTAAATATAAATGCAAAATTAATTGAATGGTTGTGATAACTATTTATAATTTTTAAGATGATAACTCAAGATCGGCTACCGAAACGTGAGAAGGGTTGATTAGGTCAGGCTAAAGTGGTCAGTGTTTTTTGATAGATGGAAAGATCACCATATTAGTTCATTTTATATAGTTTTGGAATACTGTAATCGGATCCTTGGTACGTAGCTTGACGATCAATTGTTAATAAAATCTGACAGTCGTATGGACATAACACATTACACACACCCACTACACGAGTTTAATTTTCATGAACCGTCTGACTGTCACATGTAGGCTAATAAAGACTACAAGTCTGTTGCGAATGTAGATTTTTACGTAGCCCGACAATTCTACCGACCGTAATCTAACCATAATAATGAATTTTAACTATCAATCTTGAATACCCTTAAAATATTATTTTTCAATCACTATTGTATTTAAAGTGAAAGTAAAAAATTCCTTTAAAACTAATTTCTACTAGAATTTGCGGTTCTCAGAGAAATATACCAGAGAATAAACACATTGCAGTTTTAGAATTCTGTTTTAAAGAATGCCTTAATAACATGTATAGTCAATGAGTATCTAAAGTAAACGTAACAGCTATTTAACACATTGATTTTAAATATTAGGTAGCCCACACATATTTCTCTATTTTAAAAACAGTAGGCCTATCAAAAAATGTATTAAATATTTGTAGAGAAAGTTTGTTTTTTACTAGATTTTTAGCAAAGTGTTTATTTTGTCGAGATTAATGTTTTGAAATCTATATAATTAATACGCTACATGAAACTTTGTCGGTTGAACTCCTCCGCCATTTCTTAACCGATTTTATCCATTGACGTCTCATTGGAAAGAGCGTGTCGTGTAGATTTGCAAACTGGCCTTACATTTTTGAAAAAAGTCCCTCGGGTTCTGCCCCAGTGGCTTTGAAAGTTCCCATGTTATCTTTATGAAGAACATAATTGTTTACATATTGATCAGCTGTATAATTTAATTGCTGTTATTTATTTTTCAATTCAATGAAACGCATTGAGTACATTTGTTTACTATTTGAGTTTGTGTAAACATAACCCCCAAGACGGATCGTCTTAGTGTGGTTTTATCTTAAATTTGTGTATTTATAGTTGTTTTGTGTCGCTCTGACGGATCGTGTTAGCATGATTGTTACTTAAATTTGTACATTTATCGTTGTTTTGTGTAGCTATAATTTGTTCATTTATTTTTTTTTCCCCCTTTTAAATGCCTCCGACGTGACGACAACGGAGGCGTAATCGTGATAACGACCGCAGCTACAAAACAGTGTCGCGTAAAGGCATAGTCAGCACCTGACCCTGGACAATCTCAACTAATAGGTTAAAAATGCGCCCTAACACTACCCCAAAACGATTTTTCGTTCTCAATTGGTCCTCTATCAATGACCTGTGTTGCTTGGACAGCGAGGCATTTAGAGAAGGAGAAAACCGGCCGGAATGCTTTAGGTTTATCAATAACGAAGATAAACATGGTCTGAGTACACACCGGTAATCTTTGAGTTGACTCTTTTAAACTTATTCTAAATATGACTGTTATTCGTTTTGAATTATTAACTCCTGTAGTACTTTACAATTGCTCGAATTCGAGCAACATGTACACTAGTAATAAATAAACCAGGACCTTCTAAAACCACCGCGCCCGTGCCAACTCACAAGAACACACTCTATTGGATAAATTAAATTACAAGAGCGATGTAACCATTATCAATTTTCTTGGTAATTTTTATGTAGATACCTAGCCTGCGTTTTTATAGTTAAACTAGGACTACAGTGACGGTTTCACTAGCACCGGCAGCCAAAACATACGAACTCAAAACAGTAAAGCTGTGAGAAATGTGTCGGGAGTTTGAAGGCGTTCAATAAATCCCGGTTTCAACGCAACCTCACCCCAAGTCCAAGGTTCGAAACTAAAACATTTTCGTAAACTAACTTAAGCTATTTAACTAACGAAGAAACTATATTGTATACAATTTTCCTACCTGAAGTATACATGATAATACTAATAATCAGCACGATATAAAATGGTCTAATATAGCGTTAGTAATAGTAGGTATAAATAGATTCGACAACTTAAGCGAGCAACTCTTTTCAAGGCTCAACAAAACTACTTGTTATTACCAGGGCTATTTTTGCTGTAGTTCAGATATTTCACAGAAGCTTACAACATTACTGATTCAACCAAGGATATCAAACTTCGTCTAAATAATACGAAGAATCTTAAAGAATCCATTTTACTACAAATTCGAATATGAGATATTATGACTAATACATTTTGAAGTTTTTAGTATTGAACTATAGAGAATTGGCGAGGTGCCTTTTAGTCTCAGTACATATTGCAAATAAGAATTTTTCAATGCATTTATAAAATAGTACGCCTAATCTTTAATGTTTGTAATAGAAAATATTTGCGAAATAATGTAATTTTTATTATTGGAGCTTTTTTAAATTTCCGTTTGAAATGCTGTACTTGCTCTTGGATTGATATAACTGTCGTGTATTAGTCTTGAACAACAAATTGGTCAATAATAGTCGGAGATATTTTGTACATTTTCCACGAATACAAAAACATTATTATCTTCTTCCGCGATCGCGGCGAAATCCTCTCAATGTAACCCCCGAACTCCCCTCAACTGGCTACGCCACTGGACTCTGGTGATAAAATATTCTGTTACTAATTCGTGTACTTTTTCTTTAAACCCACCTTAAGCTATAGGAACACTTGTTAGAGTCTTCTCCGAACTGTAAACTTCCTCCACTATAGCGTTCTAAGTAGAACACTTCTTGCTTTGTGTTCCAGGTTCTAGCAGTTGCCTCAGCCGCTGTCCCTGCTCAGAGGTTCCCCAGCAACCAGGAGGTTCCTACCATCAAGGGTGTTCTGGAGGCGCTGCGCTTCGCCTTCGTCGGTTCTCCCACCTACCACGCCAAGCAGCCCTGGGACTTTGACCCGGAGGTACCGTACTATCACAGACAATTACTTCAGACTAGACCTAGGGGTTGCGGCATTATCACTTAGATAAAATCCATTGGTGACTTGGCGGGGATCGAACCCGGGACCTCAGGGACTGAAGTCCCGCGCTCTAACCACTACGCCAGCTCGCCCCCCCCCCCAAAAAAAAGGAAAACAAATGATCACAGACAATATAATACTGTATTGTCTGTGGTACTAGTCAAAGCTAATCAACCACTTGATAGAACGTTTCCTCGTTTTGAGGCCAATCATACAGTAGCTCGAAAGTTCTTGCAATTTTACATCCGACAGAGAATTGCAGCATGTGTACCGAGTGACCTTGACATAAAGTGAAAATACGATATTTCGAATGTCTTGTTTATCCAACAGATGACTCTAAAAATCGGGCTTAGAACCAATAAATACTAGATTGACTAATACCAGTCTATAGCTTTGGTCTTATGGTATACTTGTTGAAAACAAACCTACGACACAACCTACACTGCTAGAACAATTACACACAATTAAATTACTAATAACGTAGTTCATTTAAATAGTAACAACAAAACTACCTGTATAAAAATGGTACTACAATTAGTCATTTATATAGGTACCCTAGATTACAACTGATCCAGTATTTACAAAAAAAAGACTCCCCTTTTGATTGCCAAGCTCCGAAGATTAAAAATCCTAGGAACGAAGCATTGAGATGCTTTAACACAGAGGAGGAACTATAATGTGAACTGCAGGAACTGTAACTGTAGAAGAAATGGCGCAAGATGCCACAGTCACCAAGACTTGGGCCATGTTTAATTGAATACTTGGGTCACCAACCGTATTTAATCGAATGAACCTCTTATTTAGAATATATTGCTGTCGAAATTTTATCGCTTGGATTTTTCTGAACTGTGATAGTAGCTATGAACTAAAGCGCGTGAAAGCTCATCAGTCGTCTTTCAGTTTGGCGTGAGTAAACAGTTAATGTACAAGAAATTAAACTGTATTTTGCAGTGCTACAGCAGTATACTCTGTCGTTGGCTTAATTGAAGTGTTTTTAACTGCCTCCAACATCAAAATAGAAATGGCCTGCTGCACGATTATGCATCTCTTGCCGTTGGTCGCCGTAGTCTCTCCCAACTGGCATTAGTGTAGTCCTTTAACTATATGGACTATTTCGTAATCGTACTGCTACAACTTTGATCTGTAATATTCCAGGTGTCCAAGAGACGCAACCCTGGGTACGAGGCTCTCCACGGTCATCACTCCGAGCGGCTCATAGAGAGGCTCGGGCTAGGGGAAGATGGTCGTGAGGAGGAGAGGAGGCAACAACAAGCCATCCGAGACATCGGGGTGCCGATCACGGGGAAGCGGTGACTGGGAACGTGAAGGAAGTTGACATGAACTGATCAGACTGATGCGCAATAACTGTGTATTTACTCTCAATACCCGTCTCGTCCTGGGTGTCAGTTGCCAAGAAGTGATATATTTTGATGGAGGGTCTCACATATGTGTTCGTGTTCACATTCGTGTGTGGAGGGCCAATTGACTTGTTATGAATTTACAGTAGTCAAAATTATTTTTCGTCCAATCCTGATTGTTGAAGTTTACCAACTTTTCTTGATTAGCTACGACCAATCATACATCATTTAGTATGCTATCAATAAAGACCTATTTGCATACTAATTGAGTTAGTTATTTTCCAACATCAACGCAAATGCATTTTCATAATGAAACACAAGGATTTTTTAAATTAAAAAATCCAAAATTACCTAAATATCTTGTAATAGCTTAAAAAGTTCACTTGCACCATCAAAAGCCAAAGACACTATATTACATTGTTTGTACACAAATTCACACGTGAAACATGAAGATATTCCCTTGTATCTGGTGTTGGCCTGGTGGTGACGTCACTCCAGGTAACCGTTATGTGCTGCTTTCTCCCGCGATTTCTACAGACGGCCAAACCTTTGTTGGCGATTTTCAATACTGAAGAAGGATTATTTACCATCCACGAGGACGGGGATATGAATGACTAAAATGTTAACATGTAACATTCTTTTAAAAAGCCAACCACAACCTGTGGTAGTCATGTAAAATCCACTTGTTTTGATATGTGAAATATACTTTTACCATCCACGAGGACGGCGATATGAATGACTAAAATGTTAACATGTAACATTCTTTTAAAAAGCCAACCACAACATGTGGTAGTCATGTAAAATCCACTTGTCTTTCTATGTGAAATATACTTGTATAATTCGTAAAGATAAACTGATTGAATAACAGCCTTTGTGTTTTAACCAATCCTAAGATTACCAAACACTCACCATTGAGATAGAGATAACAAAAGAACAAGACTTGAACCGATCCCTTGCAAAAAGTTAAACTAAACACCATTGGCATAAAAAACCCTAAAAATTCATGAATTCTAGATAGAATTACTTTCTATCTGAATCCATATCTGGAACTCGCTTTTGCGTGGAAGGCGTACACGCTACTCAAGACTCAAAACACGTTGAGTCCTCCAGAGAGTGATCGTACAGCGCCGTGCTCATAGCGCCAGGGAAAATAGCGGAATATCGTGATATCACAGCGCCGTCTACCTGGACCGGGCGTGTATTCCTGCTCTACTGTAATATTGTCCTTCTTTAAAGATTATAAATTTGGTTCTTAAATTGGAATGATTAGGTACTGTACGTACTATTATACACAATAGTTCCAATAATATCAAATCCGAACCTCAAAACTACGAATGGAAATGGAAGTTCTGTCACAACTCCTACTTACTAAATAAAGCTGGAAGTTGCTTTTACACCAGTCCCTTATTGAACTGGTCAGTAGCAATTCAAAATGAGACGCTATTCCCTCCATTCTTGCTACGATCTCAAATTACAAATTTTAATTTCTCAGTTAACAATGTCCACTTCTCAATCACAGTGTCTAAACTCAAATTCCTGGGGTTTCTTCAAATTAAAAAATACCATTTTATCATTGGTAATGGGCCGTCACCACCATCGTGCAAAGCCTATCGAGAGGAAGAAGAAGATGATGACGCCAGTTGCGGAAGTGAAAGACTTTCACTTTTACTTTCTTTTGCAGCCTCCGCTGCCTTCACCTTCACCTTCTTCGAGCAGATCTCCTAGGCCGTGGCCACCTACTGCAGTTTTGGCGGGCAAATCTTGGTGGCCGTGGCCGCATAGGCTACTACACGTATTGTTTAAGCGGGTAAAAAAATTAAAACAAAATTAAAAGACCGGTTGTCATTTTGCAACAATGGAAATTTTAATGGTTACGTATTCAGTACCAAAATTAACTACAGGCTGATGACCGCAAACCCAAGTAAAAAATCGCACGATTTAGCAAATACGGAAAGTAAAACGATTTTTTTTTAAACTTACGTGGTGGATATTGCTTTTAAATAAAGCATTGCAGTTAACTGTTGATATTATATAGCTAAAATTTACAATTTATTTCCGTGCAAACCACCATCGTTGTTTCAATTGCCTGAATAGTAACGCCAATTAGTATTTTTCTTAACAACTAAGGCCTGATAATACATCAGCAACCCGAAACGAGAAGCTGTACGAAATAGGTATTGCACGAATACTTGAATGGACACAGTATTGATCATTACCATAAACAAATTATGTTAATGGATATATTAAACATTATTTAACATTGCTTTAATGAAAATGTCTAAACCATAATGTTAAAGCTAGGTCTATTAGTATAAACCATAATGTTAAAGCTATTAGTATAGTACTAGTTGTTCTGCCCGTGCTTCGCTACGGGGTAAGAATGCAGAAAAGAGTAAAATTCGGTTTTACTATAAGATACTATAAGAAACAGTTACAACACACTTACCAGGAAACCTATAGGCAAAGGCTCAATCGTGATTATTGATTATTTAAATGAAGATCTCTTAACGTATTAGGTACTACTAGGGGAAACCCGTCGAAATCGACGGTTACTTTCAAGGCTTACGTTAATTCATCTAACTGCGATGAATTGGGTGAAATATACATATTTTGAGCATTTAACATTGTTCAAAGAGTAATAAGTGTAAAAAAATAACAATATTGCGTTAGTTGCCAAATTTGGTTGTTCATTCAATGATTAAAATATTTCCTATCCTGTACGTCATCGGAGTTATTATTAGTATGTTATATGGTATCTCTTCCTTTGGTAGAACCTTTAAATAGTATTTAAATCGTATTGGTGGATCTTGTAGTTAAACACTTCCGCGACTTCATCAGTGTTTGAGAAAAAATATATGTTTGTTGAGAAGACACGTTCTAACTTCAAAGGGAGTTATATCCGTTACAGTGTAAGTTTGACTTTCCTTCATCACGTCGCGTCAGTTCATATCGTACTGTGCCAATGAATGAACCCTCTAGCATAGTTTTGAGAAATTGACTATGGGGTTACTGATAAAGCTGGAATTCCTTGACATGGGGGATGTCAGTTAGTTGTCTCGGCCTTCTCAATAACATAAAGTTGTCAATATAATCTCTCTACGGAATGTTAGGTGTAGTGGAATACATTAAGTAAAGTTGGCTTTTATTCTTGAACTGTTAGGGGCCTCCTCATTTATATGGTCTTGGCGGCTTCATTGGCAACAAATAATGCAAATGACATAGCAATGGGACATTTCCAAAAAGCAAAAATACTGTAAAATGGCTGTTACGTATATATTGACGTTTACATATTGTTAATCAACGTATATGATAAATACTTTAATACTTAAATACGTTTTTATGGCGACCATTCATAGTAGGTAAGCCAAGTATGAATGGAGATGAGTGTAGGATGAGTGGCACGATCTTGAAGTCTTTTTAGTGACTAAGGCCGACATTCCTTGGATACAGCTGTTAATTAATAGCCCATACAGCGAATGGCAACCAAGGGACCTACAGTTTATAGTTGAATTGGAACCAAATTTTTTTTGCATTGGTATTTATGAATTGGTATAATTATCAGGATAGCACTGCGGGTAGTCGTAGTACTCACTCGTGCGGACGTTAATCCACACCAGGGAGTATCGCATCCACAGTGCATTCCTATAAATATCCACAATTCGTGACCTCCTAGTAGCTGGATTACAGGACGACGCCACCCGTCCCAGTCAAAGAATTATGTGATCTAGTTTAAAAGGAATATGACCTTTCTGTCATGACAGTAGCTGCTTAAATTGTATTTTCTCTTTGTACCATATTTTACAGCCAAAATGTCGTGTTATTTTCAATAATGTTACAAATTCAGTGCGCCAAAGTCCGTAATATAGGCAGGTGCAAATAATTTGTCAAGATAGGTACCATTTTAGGCAATGTTTCTAAGTTTGGATTTTATTAGACACAATAAGAGCAGATAATTTTCTACATAAATATTTGATATTTTGTAGAATAATATGATAAAATGTATGGCGAAAAAGGCACACACCAACCCGTACAATAGATATAAGATAGTTCAATAAGAAATAATTTAAGAATTGCTGTGATAAAAGGATTTTCCACTGATTTCGTAATGGAACGTTACATTGCAAAACATGGCATGATAAAGAAGAAAATCAATTTTAAAATCAGAAAATAACATTGCAAATACTTATTTGGTAGAATTCAACTCCCAATAAATGTGTGTTGTTTGAAATACAATTTAAAAATGAACAGCTGTTCCATTAAAAAGTATTATCCACGTGGCCAAAATGTAAACAACTCTGTGGAGGGATCTTTTAAGGCTTCTGGGGCAGAGTCCTAAGGGATTTTGCTTAGTTTTTCTTTTGATAACTCATCTACAGACCAAGACCTTTCTTTGGACACCTCTACCAAGTTTCTACGCCCAACCGTTCTCTCAAATTAGTGGGGACAAAGTTTCCAATCAAATATTTAGATTCCCCCATGTTAATCTTATGGGAGAAAATCTAACTTTAATGGCCTGTGGGGCAAAGCCCGAGGATTTTTACTACATGAATTGGTGAAAGGGGGCGTCTACACAAAAAATACTTTATTTTGACACGTCGTTTGTAAAAATCCGTCCATTATTAACGGAGGAGTAGTGTTTTCTAGAAATCGCCTTCACGTATTATATATAAGGATAACTATTGTGTACTATAGTGTATTTCATTTAAAATATATGCAAAAGTATATTTCATTGACTACATTAACAATTTTATCATTGTAAACAAAATAAATTAAATAGCAGAACGAAGCATAACAGCTGGGTAAATAAATGTTCTTCTTAAGAAATACATTGGGATTTTGATGGCCTGTGGGGCAAAGCCCGAGGACTTTTATTAAAGAAATTGGTGAAAGGGGCGTCTACACAAAAAATACTTAATTTTGACACATAGTTTGTAAAAATCCGCCCATTATTAAGGGAGGAGTAGTGTTTCATAGAAATCGCCTTCACGTATATATATATAAGGATTCGGACCAGTTACGTCATTTGCTTATGTTTGTGATCCATACCGCTGTCTGCTCTAATGTTCGAGGGTATTACTGAATTATAAAGTTCTAAGTACAATTTTAATTTAAGATTATAGTTTAGACAAACAGCTAGCTGTTACCTGCTACCTGCTACCATGGATAAAACATACTCCCTTTTAGCTGCTAACCACAGGCTTCACACAGTTTGACTTCATAAGTAATAATGATAAAACTATTGATTGGTTTAGTTCCTTCCACCATGTTAAGCTGAAATAAACAAAACAGAATACAGTAATACAAACAAATAATCAAACTAAATTTGTTAATAAGGTAGCCTATTAAATTGAAGGGATAGCAAAAAAAGTAGGCCTACAGCTGAGGTATTTTTAACATTTAGGTATATGGAAAGTTCCCTTTAGAAAGAAATGACATTTTAAGTACATAGTTTTATAGGGGTGTGACTTTTAGTTTTTTTTTTTAAAGTTCATGGCTACATTGGGATTTATATGGATTTTTTCTGGTATCTTCTTGTCGGGCTTATTAGCAATTCCCAATTCCAACCAGAAACTCATTACCACTTTAATAGATGGTCCACAACAATGGTCCACATTTCCAGAGATTAATTCATACTTAGTGATTCTATCTAGAATGCATGCATTCTGTTGTTCGCCATTGGCCTTTTGTTTTTAATTTCTCGTAAGGGAACGGTCCAAGCCCTGTTCTATTGCTACATTAATTAATGCCAAGTCTCATTTTTTTTAGATTTTCTGATTAATTGATAGTCCAACCAATAATTTCCCCATCGTCCAGAATCAACCTCAATCGGGATCTAAACACAATATTCATTGAGAATTTGAATTTGAATTTGTCATCTTCGTTGACAATTTGAAGGCGAAATCAACCCTACATTGTCAGATTTATGTATAACATACAATCTCAACCAAAAAACACGTCTGGACAAACAAATAACAAACTACTACAGAACTGAAAGTGAAAGTGGTTGAACAAACAAGTTGAACGACTTGCTTAGACCACTACTGCCCAGTCTAGATTATTATTTAAATTACAACATTATCACGTTTAAAATACGTCGACGTTTACTTTATACGTTTACAACAGTTGTATCATATACTAATCAACACAAGTAGACTTCTCATCCCATTGTAAATTTTGAATATCGTTTTTCGTGACTGTTTCATGCCTGTTGACACTGATCGCTAGTGTCGACAAAATGTTGCTTATATTATTTTAGGGTTAATGATTTGTGATTGTGCTTTACTGTTTGGTCATAACTAGGGGACTAGTTATTATTTATGATTAGATCGTTTTATTTGGTGAAACTTTAAAACCTTAAATGACTGAAAATAACAATAAACAAATTGTAATCATAACACGACCTCTACAGTATATACAGAACTATAAACACTATAACAATAAACAATATAACTATAACCTTATAGTCAACTAGCTGTTGCTGTTACCCACGGGCTCCACCCCGTTTTTAACCCACTTCCCCACTACCAACAAAAGGAGGAGGTTCTCAATTTGTTTGTGGCGATGTTTTTTTTCTATGTATGTTCACCAATTTCTCTGTGATTCTTTTACCGATCAGTGTGGTTCCACCACCAAAATAACCAGGAGAGTTTCTATTTGGTACCTTATATATTATGTTTAAGTATAATATTTGTTTCGGTGAAAAATTCTGAAAACTTTAAATATTCAACATTTATTTTGTTTACATTTGTGCAGATTGTTTACATTTGTGCAGAGAAGGCAATAAATAATGATAACATTCCTACAGCTGTTAGTTGAAACCATTTAAATGAAGCTAGAGACAATTCTTCATGAAACAGTTGCTTCATATTGATCAATAAACTATTTCTTGCCATGCATTTTGTTTTGGTTACTATAAAAATGTATTTTAACGTTTGATCTGATAATATTATTTATATTTTTATTTATATATTTATGTTTATATATTTATGTTTTTCTGATAATATTAGTAATATATTCTCTACCCAGTTACTATAACATATCAATAATATTATGCCTGCTTCGGAAAGTCCTAGAGGAAGATGATTTGCAATTTCGACTAGGCTATATCTTGAGCAAACAAAACCCCCTACATGACTTACACCACTTTTAGCTGAACCAATCTTTCATATAATATTTTCCAAAGGTACTGTACGTGTTATCAACCAATTTTACACTTTTGAGAGATTGTTTAGTGTTGGTAGCTGAGGAATAACTTTCATATTGTTCCAAAACGCTTGAGACGTTACTGTATTTCTTTTTATAATGTAGAAGCACACCGATTTCAGGAATTGATGATGTCTGATATTTCAATGTATCAAGAAAAGACAATTAGTTTTTCATTAGGTCTAATGTAATGGACAACACTTTCTTTCTTAAGGAATATCTAAAAATGTTCATTTTCATACCCATTGATTGTAACCTGAACAGGTGACTCAAGCAGTTTTAAAATAATGATTGTTCTGTGGAACTTTTGATTGTTTCAAATAGTTTTGCTTGTCAAAAAACCTCAAGTAATTAATATATAAAAAATTATACAGTCACTAAAAATCATGAAATAATTTATTTTTGTAAAAAAATACAACCGACTTCAAACGCTCTAAAAAGAATGAAATAATTTCAATAAAGTAAACTTATGTATTAGGCAAGATCACGTATCTCAAGTCGGCGCTGCTCAAACTGCAAATATGATTGAAATTAAATATTGTGTGTGTATTTTGAAAATCAATAAATTGCAGCTGGATAACATAAATATATATAAAACATACTGAACTGTTTTGTTTATATATTAAAGGAAATATTTTCTTGTATTTTATGTTTACTTCAGAATAAATGCATTATGAAAATAACACACACAAATGTTCTATATGAATAGGAAAATAATTTAGTTTGATATTATGATAGGGAAAAGAAGCTAGTTTGGTATTAAAACGTTACTTTTCCATGTTAGAAACATTTAAATGCGTTATAATCTTTTTAAAGATGCTCGTTAATACCACTATAATGCCGATCTCTGATTACGGTAATAAAATAAAACTTAACGCATAACTATGAAAAAGACATGCAGATTAACAACTTTAGTTATAGATAGTCACCTGCAATATGGACACCCTCTTTCAATTTTGTATCAAAAATCATCACAGAGCCGCGCCTACTTAAAATACATGAGCTTGCCTAATACAGAAGTTTACTTTATTGAAATTATTTCATTCTTTTTAGAGCGTTTGAAGTCGGTTGTATTTTTTTACAAAAATAAATTATACTATAGAAGTGTTAATAAAACTATTGATTGGTTAAGTTTTAATCTGAAATAAACATAACAGAATACAGTAATGTTAATACAAACAAATAATAACAGCTGAGGTATTTTTAACATTAGGTAAATGGAAAGTTCCCTTTGGAAAGCAATTACGACCTTATAGGGCAATTTATGAAATAATGGATAATTTTGCGCAAGGTTTCTCGTCATGACGAACATTTTAAGTATATGGTTTATGGGGGTGTGACTTGTAGTTTTCTCAAAAGTTCATGGGTACTTTTGGCTTTATATATAGATGCTATAGGCCTAACGGCCTAACTATAATAATAACAATAAAACTGGCTTCAACTGTTCGATAAGGATGAGAAATCTAGGGAGTTCTACAGTACTTGCACCTTTGACTATTAATACAACAACTTCTGTATCCAATAGTCAATGCTTGCACATATACAGTACCTATATTTTTCTCATGAACTAAAAACAAAGTGCAACTGAGAATATATCCAACTGTTTCAACTCAAACGGTTATTTAAAACCAAAAAAAAACACAATCTTGCTTTGGCTATCCAAAATGTAAATCTGATGCAAATCGTCAGAACAAAAAGCAAAGGGAAGAAAAAGTTTCGATCCAGTGGTTATGTGTTTATGGTTCTAGTCTTTAAGTTCTCCCAGTGCCTCCTACATTCTGGAGCGACCAGAAGTGCCTTTGCCACTGCCTTCTTGATTTCGACTCTGACTTGGCGTCTACACTCTCACTTTCTTCCGTACTTTCCCTCCAGTCGTCGCCACTGCCACCCTGTCAGACAGTTCCCGCCCGGCGTCATGGCCAGGCCGCCGGGGCATCAGCTGGTAAGTGGCCTTTCATACGATACAGTGTTATAGTCATAGTGTGTTCTTGTATTGATTCATCAAGGGTTGTTACTGACACCAATGGTTTTATTTTAATTTTAGGGACAATTCTCTTGAAAAGAATTTTAGCTTTAGACATGCGTGAAAAGGGTACTGTGCAGTATCATTGTACTTTTTTAGCGTAACTATTCCCAATCAGATGGAATTAGTAATTGTGGGATTTACACTGCCAAACCATGAAGGCATACGACACGGCAATAATTATTTTTATATTTTTATAATTATTCTTTGGGATCTAACAGCACAGCTCTTCATCAATGAGGCGCACTATTTATTTGGACGGAAGTGTTACACACGGTTTCACTTTTTCATGTTTGCACTCATAATCGGTATTTATTATGGTTGAATTTTAGTGGACATAGAGTTGCGATCGAATTAAGAACTTAAACGTTAGCATAAAATCACAGAAGATGACATTATTTATTATAGTCGATGATTAAACAGTATTGTAAATGCTGGCACCTTCACATAAATGGACGCATAATTAAGATATTTAGGTATTTTTTCTGTCGTCTTTTGCATTGACGATAAGGAAAACGGCGACTAATTTGTTACCATTGATCCAGTTAAACTTAACGTTTTCAAACGGCCATTAAAGTACTTTGCAAATACATAGGGAGATAATTTGTTTCTGGAAAAGTTTACAGTCATTTATTTAATTTAATTTTACCTCGATTTCATGTAGTGTCGAATAGTTTTGCGATCGTATAAACAGTATTGTAAATAAATATCCCCCTGACTAAATAATGATTGTTAATAGGCTAAATTAAATTAGCTAAAAATACACGTAAGCCTTATAATACTTAGGGTACAACAACAAAAACAACATTAAATTCATAAACAAAATAATGGGACTTGCATATTAAAAACTATTTCAAAGGCTAAATTCCCGCTTTTAATTTGCTTCAGTTGACATCTTTGACTAAACCTTTGAGTATATCGATTTCCAATTGTGTTTATTTTCGTACATTGATACATTTCAACGAATCGGGAATCGTCCAATTTTAGAAGCACCTAACATCGTCGGGAAGAAAGTTTCCACTCCAACAATGAAAGTATGTCCTCCCCCTTCTCCTTCCCCCACTCAAACTGTTCACAGTTGAAAGTAAAAGCTGAGGCAACAGTAACCGCAACTTCAGGACACTGTGGGGTGAGGGGAGGGGGCCGGTGGCGCAACATGCACTCAAACCTGCGTAATGCTGCGCTGCTGTGCGTAGTCGCGCAATGACGTAATGAAAACGAACGATAACAGTTTTAGATTAGATTGTCAATGGAAACGGTTTAGGTAATATAGTACCTCTAAAAGTGTGTAGTATTATTTCTTAATGTACAATGTTCACAGTGAGAATCTCAATACACACATGTTATAGAATTTTGAGATATTGGTATATTGAAATTAAATTTAAAAAGAAAAATATTTTTTTAAAGTCTTCTCAAAGAGAGTAAATGAACTGATGATCTTGACAACAAATTACAGTTTAAAATATGTGTATGTTTCTATATTAAACATATAAATATATGTTTCACTCGGCTTACTGCATTGCATAATTATTGTTCCTATACTGGTTTTGTTTTTCGAATCTCTCGTTTTGTCAACTTGTTCAGATAGTTTGTTATTTTTAGTTGTTACTTATAGTTTTGTTATTCATAGTTTGTCATTTATAGTTGTTATTTATCTTTTTATGTCTTGTTATTGAAGTCTTATTTTCCAGTTTTTTTCACTACTTTTGTACTGGCCTGTGATTTTTTTTCTGATTCTTCTGTATGTAAGATTATTGTATTTTTCATGTAAAAATGGTGCAACCGTTTACAAATAAATAAATAAATAAATATAGAGTACTGAACACAATATTGTAACAGAGATTGAAAAGAGACGTGTAGTTCATGTAGGTTTACAGGTATCAACATTAGCATAACCTGGATATTATTGGATAATCAAACTAAAATTTGCCTTCATAAACCAGTTGAGTAAATATTTAAAAAATTATAATTAAATAGGTAAACCTTAATGAAATAGAGCGGATATACAAAATTCAAGTACTGTACTGTTTTCACAAATATAATGTAGCCCCAAAATACTTAACTGCAAAAATCATTTCAAACATCAACTAAAAAATAGTATTGCACCAGAAGAACTGTTGTATAAAATAAAAACGTTAGTATTAACTATCACACAGACAGGCATTATGATCCAAATCATTATTATTTGAGTATTCACTATTTTGATATGGTAAGTAACACAATAAAACAGAACTAGTGATAGGCAGGTTAGTATGTACCATTTTAGGAAATACATTTCATATTTGATATATTATAATGTGAATGTGTCAAGTGTTTAATCTGTTTTTATCTGTGATTATAAGAAACACCAAACAAAAACTTTGAATTTTTTTCATTCGAGCAAGTTACATTTTAAAAAAATGTGGGGGCACCATTTTTATCACCTTCACCTATGGGGTTTTGGTTTCTTCCTTTTAAATCTGGTTTAGTTTTCAATTTTTTATACAGGAAAATCTAAATTATCAGTTTGTGATCTAATGCTCTCATTACATCTCCTGAACCAAAAGGTAGAGTGGAGGGGAGAAAACGAAACTAACCCAGTTTGCCAAGAAAGGTTACGAATCTTACTTCATTACTGGTGAAACTAGGTCCTCCCCCCTAGCTTCATGTTGTGCAACTAATGCCAGGGAAATGCAATCTGCAACTAAACCAATGGAAAACCATGCTATATCATAATAATATTGAATCTAAAATAGTTTTAAATACAATTTTGTGTTTTTTATGGAAGTCAGATTTGAATAATTACTCAATTTTAGATATTTTCAAATACAAATATACAGTACCGTCGAATATAATTTTTTGATGAAATACTAATTAGCCTACACTGGCATCGTTTCAATCTGTGCCCCTTTCAATTTCATGTACAGTATAGATTTTTGTTTAATGGAACTATATTTTTTCTTTCATTCTGTGAAGTGGGAGGACTGATGCAACTAGATGTCAAAAGAGATTCACTTCTCTACCTTAAAAAAGTATTTGTAAATGGTTTTTTTATTAGGCTTTAGCTGGGGATTGTTTTTGACACAGACTAGGACTAGATTTTGTGGCATTATTACTTTGATAAAATCCATTGGGGATTGGCGGGATTAGTACCTGGGACCCGTGGACCGAAGAAACTACACCACTAGACAAGCTCACACCCCATTTGTAAACGGTTACAGCAAACTACAGTGTGCATTTAGTAAAAAAAAAAATATATTAATACTTGTCAAATCTTAATATACAATAGGCTACTATGAACTGCAATACCTGTGATTTAACGGGAAGAGATAATGCGGTTCTTTATATCTGCTGTATGAAATAGTTACCTTTCCATCCATTATTTATTTTCAAAACAAAACATAATTTCACTGAATAGTTTGATAGCATTACACATTTATTTTATGTACACTAACAGCCGTGAGTTCAAAACATGTGATATATTTTATACCTATAGTTGATAAGGGTAAAAACTATTATTTCTCATCATATCCCTATTATTTTCATTGTGTGCGCAAACTCTTAGAGGTATCTTAAAAAAATCACGAATACTATAATGAAACATACTATGAAAACACAAAATATAACGTCATTTTCTTCTTGACATTTTAAACAAATAACATTATAATATTTTACTTGAATTCCCTACAACATTAATGAAACATACTATGAGAACACAAAATCCTATCACAATACAAAATCTAACAGTCATTTTCTTCATTACATTCTATACAAATATCATTACAACATTTTACTTGATTTCACCTAAGCATCACCAACTACAACAGATAACCCCATTTATAGATGTAAACAAAATTGTATCATGGTCATCTGTTTTGATGTAAACAAAAATGTAAACTTGAAAAAGTTCAGATGATTGACAACAGGACGATGGCATGGTGTTTCCACCCTTAACGCATTCTGTGACTGGCTCTCATAACTATGTTCTTTTTTAGTAAAATAAATGGCGACAGCTGTTCCATATAGATGGAATGTATACTTCAGTATCCAATAGTCAATGATTTAAGTATTAATGCTATTATAAACGAGTAATTTTTACCATCGACATCGACTGTAAAATATATTAATATGTTGTGGATTGCCAGGTTAACATTTTCATCATAAAAAATTGAAATTCCACTGAAACTTAAATAATAAAAGCCAAAATTAGTTGTAAATAAAAATGTGAGTTTCCTTTATTGCTTTTACAATCGAAATAAATTATACAGAGCCATGACTCGGTCCCCAGGTTCAATGAAAATAATTAAGAAACCTTACTGTATTAAGAAGCAATAACTATTTTTAAAATGTCGTATAACACTATGCATGTTTATTGTTCCAGGCATTTTGTCTATCGATATTTGTGTTGGTGATGATTTTGAACTCTTGCGAGTCCCTTCAACCGAGAGCCCCCAACTTCCAATACTTTGAAAGGTATTATATTATTATTATATATTATGAAAGGTATATAAAAAGTTGTATCTTGTATAATATGACACTACTGTCCTTGTGACGTGGCTTGTCAATTACATTTTATCAGTCTAGTTTTAGCAAATACAGAACAATAAAACATAAATCTCTCTAATAAATTTTGTTGGCATACTAGCTTTTTAATTTATGTTCAGTTTTAACTGTTCATCCATAAGCCATCCCAACATAGAGAAAAACTTGTTTGCAAATTTTGATATAAACGTTTTGGCTGAGTATAGAGATTTTCAGGTGGAACTGTAATATTTATAATTGTAAACAACTTTAAAATCATGAAATGCAAAATAGTAAATTGGTGATTACATGACTTGCTTCGAAGGATATAAAGCTTGTGCTAATAACCCACTAAAGTTACATTGATGATCTCAGACACTGACAGACATGATTTGTAGAAAACACTCATGATCAAGACAGGCCAAGTCATTGGCCAAAAGTGAAACTAAGAGTGGACAGTGGAGTTTTTTTAAAACATACAGTAGTCAAAAAAGGTAACTGAGTACCATAGGCAGTAAAGGGTCAAAAAGCCTCAGAATTAAATGACTAGGAACTTTAAAAATGCAGTAATGGCTCAAATCTCTGCGGCCAATGAGAATAACATTGGAATAGAAAACATGTTCCAAACGTTACAGCATAAACAAATGTATTTGAAAAAATTTGAATTAAATAGAATAGAAGTACTGTGGATTTGTAAATAAAGTTTGGTCTTGAACTCTTTTGTTTTTTGTTAACATTATTGACTGTACACCACTACTAGAGGTGGAGAGTCAATGTTAACATGCTAAAAAGTTCTTTTACTTTATGGATGACCCACATTTATATACAGGAATACAAATTTGAATAAATTGTACTTTTAACTATAAATGAAAAAAGAAAATAGCTCCCGGATCTAGCTCTTAACTGTCCCACCTAGTATTAGCATTGACTATTGGATAGCTTATTCCTTACATGGGAAATTTGCTCAAAGAACCCATAGAACAACTAAACAGGAAAACACCTAAATAAGTGTTGAATGGACTCCCCTGCGGTTGTGGAAAAATTGTCAATATATCTTGCGATCAAGAGGACGTCCTTATCGTCACCCCCTATAGAGCCAAATAATTGCATTTTTGTCCTAAACAATTGTTTTGCAAATCCAGCACTGTATAAGCATATTAGTAAGATCAACTTCCAGGCCACAGTTATTGCATAGAGTCGCAATAGAAGCTTCCGTTATGCATTGGAATTTGGGCTTATATTATCAGTTTTCTCAGTCCAAGAGAATTTTATAATTTATTCTTCTTCTTAATCTTAATCTTCCCTGTGTGTGTTTGGTGTTCCAGGCCGAAGTACAGGTACCCCTATTACGATGAGAACGGCAAGGGGAAGCTACTGTACGGCTACGGTGGTTCAGATCTCTATCAGTACAAGTCCTACTCTCCTCTCGAGGGGATACACTAACTTCCCTTAGCACATAGAGTATAAACTTCACTATCATTAGAGCATAGAGTAAGGTGAGCCAGGTGGAAACATGTTACCAATTTGAACAATCAGTTGTATCACTAATCCAGTCTGGATTGCACTACTTTTTTTATGCTGTAGTTTTTCACTATAATTCCTATGCATATTTGTCCCACTGTAATATAATACTCTTACTGACTAACCCTTGACAAATAATAGTTCAATACTTGACACCAACCATGTATAGAATGTAGTCTGTACGGAATCTGTATGTTTAATTTAGATTTAATCATAATTTTCAAGCAGTACAAATATTTCCATTTTAGTTAAACACTGTTTAGTAGTATATTCTATACTTTAAATGTGTATGGGTTAAACCACAATATTATACATTTTAGCTTTTTATTTCAATACTTATTTGACTGTTTCAAAATGTTATAAGAATGCACAATAGTGACATGTGTATTTGTTATCTTACTCAAGTCATAATTCAGTCATTCATTTATTAACCTATTACCTATGTGTTGTTTTTTCACACCATCAATCCTAGATGAGTAACCATATTTAAGCTCCATTACTTACTAAAACTTCACCATCATTCCTCAATTGCTAATTAATTATTCATCCAACATGAAGTAGAATGAAACCAACAAGAGTTGAATAATTACTTGAAATTCTATTCAGCACAACCTTTCATCCAATTTAAAATCTTCTTTTATATAAAAATGTTGTGGTGAATTCCAGACTGGTTACACTATTGTTCGTTAGAGTTAAGAACCATTAATAAACTAACCTATACAATATTTTCGAATTTCCGTGGTGTATGTCCGCTACCAGGCTTCAACCTGTCTACTCTGCTTCTCTATGTTATGGGAACTTTTTTGTCCTATTTATTATTTTTGTTTTGTTTTTAATCTATAATTGAGTTAAACAGTACTTAAAAGTGCTCTTAAAATAATGAAACATTGGTGTTTCAATCTATTTTGTATTGTATATATGTAATGTGTTTGAAAATAATATATATTTTGTGTTTCTTATGTGCGTTTTTGTTAATTTACCTGATTGTTAAGAGGTTCGTACCGTACAAAAAATGTTAAAACTCTGATGTGGAAAAAAGCAATGCATATTACAAAAACAATATATTTAGCATCAAAATCTTAACGGTATGTTTTTTAAATCAACAAAACTGTACACACTTTTACTTTCTATTAGCAACATAAAAGTTACTCAACACATCTTATTGCAGTGATTTAAAACTGTACTGGTAAGCATTACCTAATTTTGTGACTTGAAATTATGTTGATATGATGACAATGGGTGAGGTGAATAAAAGGTAGTATTTGGTAGTACGTACTTCTTTTTGAAGTATTTACTCGGTTTTCGGTGAATAAACATGCTAGTTGGTACTAGCCCCTAGTACAAACTACGACTTTCAGGTGCATAAAATGCTAGTTCGTACTACCCCTAGTACATACTACATCACATAGGGAAAGTAGTATCTACTAGGCTTTTTCGGTGAATAAAAACCAGTCGGCATAGTAGTTACTTCATTTTTATGTAGTACGCTCAAGGGCATGCTTCGGTTTGATCGTTTGCGAATATGGCGATGTTTTTACAAGTCCGTAACAGGAAAACATACCTTGAACGAAGAAATATTGGTAACTGTAAGCAATTACTGTGATTTGAGAATGATAGTGTTGATTTTTTTGACCAACGAGTTTTTGCCTGGCACACTGGTGAGGCACACTGTCATCTCGACAGAAAACTGACGTTTTATTTTGTTATTTTGGTGATCCCGGTAAGTTGAGCTATTTTTAGTACAAATTATAATACCTTCTTATCCGTCGTAAATAAGATTTAATCTAATATATAAAATTCTCGTGTCACAGTGTTTGTCTGCAAACTCCTCCGGAACGACTTCACCGATCGTTATGAAATTTGGTGTGTAAATTCTGTAGGTATGCGAATCGGACGTAAACTATTTCCCGTTTCGAAATTCTTAAAAGGGCTCCGCCCCAGTGGCTCTGGAGTTTCCCATGTTAACCTTATGAGAAATGGAATTAATGAATCTTAACAGCTGTTTCAATTAAACAAGTTGGTTCTGTTCTATGATGTTCAATAGCATTAAAGTTACAGGATTACCAACAGGGTGCAGCACTATTATTTCTTTTACATTTATGACAACAGCTAATTTGCAACCAAAAGGTGAGTGAGCGTAGCGAACGAACTTCAACCTGGAGGCGAGTTAGCGTAGCGAACGAGCTAACCTGAAGGCAAGTGAGCGCAGCGAACGAGCTCCAACCTAAAGGTGAGTGAGCGTAGCGAACGAGCTCCAACCCAAAGGTGAGTGAGCGTAGCGAACGAACTTCAACCAGGACGTGATTGAGCGATGCGAACGAGATCATCTTGAAAATTAAACGTAACGGTACTTTCTTTCCATCGGTCTGTCTTAGGGGAAACCTATAACTTAGGCGATACGAAGTTCGCCGGGTCAGCTAGTTATATAATAACAAAGTGATGTGATTTAAATAAACGATATTTTTTAATTGGATTGAATATTAATTGCATATTAGGAATTATGTAAAATTGCAAATTAATTGTTTATTTTTTTTATCTCGATAGGATTGTTGCGTTTTGTTATTTTCTCTTTTTAGCGAATTTCCCTATAAGGAAGTAGCTATTACTGTAGGTGGCATGGTAAGACCTAGGCCCGGGACCGATTTACTTTTTTCATTTTGATGTTCCCAGAGGCCAAAAACACCACCATTCGTTCAAATTTGTAGCAATGCTACTTACTAGTCACTCAACACGTCTGATCCAACTGCAGGCGCGGTCAGGAATGACCAACGGAATAACGACAAACAGCTGATTATCGCCGCGCGCCTGTTTTGGCTTGTTTATTAGTGAATCACTCTAGTAGGTACTAGGGGGTAGTACGTACTAGGCAGGTAGTACTTACTACATCACATAGGGAACCCCTAGTACTTACTACCTAGTTATAGCTAATTCTTATTCACTTCGATTTGAGCAAGTGCTAGAACTATGTAGTACGAACTATGTAGTATGTACTACATTTTATTCACCTCACCCAATATGAAACTGAGGCAAAATCAACCTATAATAAAAGTTCTGAACATCCTCTTCTGATAATATTTTAAAAGGGTTCAGCTTATGTTTTCCAGGATTCTAGAAGGTTGTGAGCCCAATGTTCATTTTGCCATCAGTAGCCATTTTGCCATCGCTGTGTCATCAGTAGCAATGGTTTTATTTCTTACACTTACAATATGATATGTAGTAGGACTTTGTGTAAAATACTGGGGATGTCTGTCAAGAAATCTTATGGAAAGAGAGATACAGTAGAACCTCTTTAATCCGAACCCCTGTAATCCGAACGTCCACTAATCCGAACGCCTCATTGCTGTACTCTATACACAGTGCAGTAGTTCTTTATTGTATACTGTATTTATTGATATACACACCGTAATTATTTCAACTGTAATGTACAGTACTGTTTATTCCCAATGTTTACTACTGTATTAAATAAACACTGTATTTTACTTTATAAAGCATTTTCCACTTTTCCCTAGCTATTGTTATGTAAAAACAACAATATGTTCTGTAATCCGAACTATTCAATAGTCCGAACTACCCCCGGTCCCAATTAGTTCGGATTAAAGAGGTTCTACTGTAGTTGATAAAACGTTAATCTTTACAACAAGCTCTTTGTGTGCTGTACTCCTTCAACGAGCCAAACAGAACAAAGCATAATAATGAAATGAAATAAAAATATGTCTTTATTTAAGAGGCGAAGTTAGGACTAGCAAGTCCTCTTTACCACTTAACCTCTAAAACATAAATAAAACTATCCACTTTATAAATAAAATAAAATAATCTAAGGTACCATATTAAAAACATGTTGAAATTAAATTTAAACCCCAAAAGTCCATTCACACAAGCCGCCAACAACCCGCCACACCAGCGCCAGAGACTCATTCATGCCTGCTGCTCAAAATCATAGATTTTATCCATGCCCCAAACCTTGAGCATATGGAGAGTCTTGAACTACTCTCAGCTACAAAGTAGGTACGGTACTCTTGATTAGGCTACTCACATTGGACGCACGCTTGCACAAGTAATTTGGTGGTCCACTTGTGCTCAAGCGTGTGCTTAGAATCAAAATCTTACAAGATTGACAGAAACAAGTGGCGACTTGTCCATTGCCGCTCACACTGTCCTTCACCAGAACGGGCAAGCTTGCTCTGACTTCGCACAAAAAAATATTTGTTTTGTGGTTGCAAGCGTGCGCAAGTAGCAGGATCTCTGTTCAGAGTTCAGTAGATTTCTGAACATTGATTCAGAGTGAAAGTGACGTGCTTACTATGGATACGGAAATTCTTATTGACAAAATATATTGCCTGTTTAGTGTAGGAGTTCTTTTGTCCAGTATGCAATAGAAAATCTCTGGCTTCATTCTGTAGTACTGTAAAAACTTCTAAGGTTGTCTTAGCAGGTCGTTGAAGATTCATACATAATCTCCATTTTCCTCTTTGTCCACAAAATACTCCTTAAGTACTCGTTCTTAAAATCTTGTTCATCAAATAATAAAACATACCACTTCTGTCATCAAGGTCTGACATCTCCATTTCAACTGACCTGTTTATAATAATTAACTTGCAACTGCTTGCATTCAGTGTGAGCACATCGTTGTTCACGCAAGCTTGCCCACGCGTGCGCTACCAAATTACTTGTGCAAGCGTGCGTCCAATGTGATCCTATGCTTATTTTCTGATCAGTCAGGAGGAATTGTAGTTATAATTGTAGCTTACTATGCATGTAATGAAAATTATAAGTTTGGCAATACCTTTGTAATACTAATCAGGTAATCACTTTCAATTTCAAAATTTGCTGGTTAGATCTATCTCAGGATGATGTTGATATTTGTCTTTGGGCTATGAGACTGGTGCTATCTGATAACAGGTAAAGATGAGACAGTAATAACGGGGAACGAGTTGGTACAGTGATAGAGTTTGGGGCTTCAGTTCCTGAGGTCCCGGGTTCAAATCTCATCAATCACCAACGGTTTAAGCTATGTGACAATCCCCCAAATCTGGAGTGTGCGACAATCCAATACAGGATAAAAGGCCTTGGTACCTCAACCCGCTTCTTCCATAAAAAATATAAGGAAACCAGGGTTAAGACTATCTCAAAAAATATTTTGAAAAATGCCAATTAGAAAGAAACAGGACTGGGGTTTTATCCTACTAATATTATAAATGAGAAAGTTTGCTACGGCCTGTCCTCACGTACGCAGCCCCTGCATGGTAGCACCTCACCTGCAGAACCGCTAGACGGAGGTTGCTCGTCGTCCAGAGCAAGGCTCTTCGACAGGCGACAGATTCACCCTGGTACGTGAGGAACTCCGTCATCAGGGACTCCGCAGACATCACGACTCTCCGAGACTTCGTCGACGGCCTTCGAGCAAGACTTGAAGAGACGGCGGATGTTCCTCCGTGGGAACACATCAGGGACCTGGTTGCTGAGGATGTTCCCCAGCTCCGCCCCCGGATCGACGACTAACCCCCAGAACGACGTTGACGTCTACAGGTACCTCCTCAGGGACCTGGTTGCTGAGGATGTTCCCCAGCTCCGCCCCCGGATCGACGACTAACCCCCAGAACGACGTTGACGTCTACAGGTAGCTGAGCTACCAGGGCTTGGACCCACAGCAGACTAGAAGTATATGCTCCTAGTGAGCAGGAGCTTCACGAGACGTGGCGCTAGTCGCCACAGTCATATAGACTAGGACTTGGACTTGGATGTATGGATGGATGGATGTATGTTTGTGACAAGTAAACGCGAAAAATACTGGTCGGATTGGGCTGAAATTTGGTATGATGATAGCTCACATTCTCGATTAACATATAGACGCATTCTTATCTTAAAAGTCCTTTCGGGCTCCGCCCCAGTGGCTCTGGAGTTTCCCATGTTAACCTTATGAGTAATGGTATTTAAAAGGAATAAAAGAATTTTGTCAGCTGTTTAAACTACACAAGTTGGTTCTATGATATTGAATAGCATTAAAAAGTTACAAGGTTTACCAACAGGGTGCAGTACTATTATTTTTTTACATTTTTACAACAGCTATCCTATTAAGGCCATAAAGGTAAAATTTTGTTTTTAAAAGGCTTATGTGTAACTACTCGTATTTTATCAACAGATGTAAAGATCAAAATGTTTCTATTTCGTGTTCTCTTCCCGTTGCAAAGCACGGGTACAACAGCTAGTACATTATACAGTACATAAATAGTCTCATAATGTCTCTGGTCTAGTAGACAACAAAGTTTTCAACAACAACAAACATATAATACCCCTGCCGCAGCAAACCTGCAGACTAGGCGAATTTTTCATTTATCAGACTGGATTCCTACAATAATATCCCCTTAAAATTGTCAAATTTCATGACATTAAAGAGTACTTAGGTTTGATGCTACAGAGGAGGTAATGGGGTGTGCTGTTATTGAAAAGTTGATAGCTCCATTCCCAAATTCCATTAAAATATACCCATTAATAAGCAAACTACAACAGTTTATTTATCCTCCATACACATTTTTTGGGAATTTTCCCCATAACCGTTACTCATACAACAATTCACCAATAAATTAATGATTTGTTTTTTGCTCTAAAAAATAGTTTGAAATAAATTGCAAAATTATATGTTTTCAGGCCAATTTTTACCCCATAACTTACAGCCTCATTCCCATAGTCCGATCATGCCGGTTCGTGAACTCATTCAAATAAATGTATGTTTACAGGTTTGTACCAAATTTCATCAAAATCAGATCATCTTTACTTGAGTTATCACACTAACAGACATATATATATATATTTTTACAGTATTTGAATTTGAGAGTATGGTGTTTATGGCCTCTGGGGACACCGAAACAAAAAGTAAATTGGTCTTGGGTCTAGGTATTACCATGAGACATACGGAAATAGCTTATTCCCTACATGGGAAATTAGAAATTTGCTAAAAAAAAGGAAACATAATTTAATTACATGTTTTTAGAATTAATATCAAAATCTGGGTGTATTAAGCTCACACAGTAACATAAACAACATCAACATATATTATTTATCATTCAAATACATAGTTTAAAGCAAACATATAATTTCACTATTTTCACAAAACATTTTCTTTGGAAATAAGAGTCACTTCATTGTTTTTTTTTACCATTGTGTCAAAACACTTAGATGTCATCATCACTTGGATTCAGGTTAACTTTAATCTCCACGTCTTTTCTTGTTTTAGTTTTTGGTGAGGCGAAATCGTGCGTTCTATAATGTTTAGTTTTGTTTTTTGAAGGCTAAAATAGAAACAGAATTTTATTAATTTAGTTTAATTCTAATACCTCAGTAGTAGTTATTGATCAAGTTTGTCAACAATTTAATCTTTATCTCCTAATTAACACCAACACCAACATTAAATTGAATTAATCTGAGAAATTAAATGGAAACCAAAACTAATAGGTTAAGATAAATCTTAGATGTTATCATTAGCAGAGTATGTACCTTCTTTCTCCTGTTATTGTTGTTTCAAGCTACCAGTGTTACAAATTTAGTTATAAAGAGCCATCTTTACACTCCCCCATATTAGTTCGAACTGAACTAAAGTATTAAAGTAGGCTATGGCGGTAAAAACCGGTTAGAATGGTAGTAGATGAAGTAAAGAACATGGTGCTGGTGTCATTTGAGCTAGCTAGCTTGGCGTTACAGAAACTCACTAAAGGACGTTAATTACAGACAACGCTTGTATTATAGAACCTTTTACCTCTAACAGCTGGTCAATGTCCACCAAAGGAGGTCCCTCGGGGGCCAGACCCTTGCCTAGCCTCTCTATCAGCAACTGACCCCTTGTACCATACTTTTTCTCATACTGCTCCCTGAATCTGGAAAATAAATGTAAGTTACAAATAATAGCAAAATAATAATTAAAACACAAAAATAGAGCTATAAATGTAATTTTTTTTTTATAACTCTCCTTCCAACTCACAATACCCTCTTTTTCAAAATAGTTGTTGAATCAGAGACCTAAGACTAAGATGTATGGAAATTTTTTGTGACATAACCGACATGTAAGATGAAGAAAATACTTAAAAGAAAATGTAGGTTTCACTGTTCAGTGTGGAGCATAAGGTCACAACCACCAACAATGAACTTGAACAAAATCGTACAATCTTTTTTTAGATATATGAGACTGTGAGACATTATACAGGGTGAGTTTCTACTGACCGTGTTAACTTCGCCAGTGGGTTCTACTCACTAAAAGGAACAAAAAAGTTCCTATAAACCCATGTCCGATTTTCGACCGTTTGGCTGTTTTGGGGGATTTTGTGTTTTTCTTATTTTATTAGACTTTGCTCCACAATTTATGTAATAAAAACTTAACCAATTACTTTAGAGAGTTATAGTTAAAATCATTGGAAAGAACATTAAATTTGCTATAAATCAAAGGTTTCATTCAACAATTATACCATTACATAGTCCACGTTATAACCAAAATAAAGTAAAAATGTCATTAAATTAATTAATTACGATAATTTTCATGAGCCTCCTTTGATACATAAACCTGCATTTATGCAATGTTGAAATGCATAAAAAACTTGGCATTTTAATAATCTTTCAAATGATATGCTATTCAATACTATTATTGATATAAACCAGTGAGAAATTACTAATAAACTACAATAAAACACGGTTTACAGATTTTGTTTTTGCACAGTTTTACTGTTAATAACAATTACTGTATTCATCATGTTGGCATAATCTTGATTGGTAAAAGGCTCCATATTTTAATAAATGTTGAAAAACTCTTAATTGACTTGGAAAGTTAAAACAGCAAATTACTCAACAAGGTATGTTCAAGCAGCTGAGTTATCTAGCTATAGATGACAAATCAATAAAAGCTGACTTAATCAAGCACAAGGTAAAACTAATTACACAGCATTTAAGAATCAAACACACTACATCTTTGAAAATGTGAAAAACCTTGAGTTTATACATTTTATTAATTCAGATAATTTTAATAAATATTTAAAAGTTAAAATAATGTACAAATTTTATCAGATAGTTCAATAAAATACATCATGGAGTATTCAGTAATTATTATTAACAGTAAAACTGTACAAATACAAAATCTGTAAACCGTGTTTTATTGTAGTTTATTAGTAATTTCTCACTGGTTTATATCAATAATAGTATTGAATAGCATATCATTTGAAAGATTATTAAAATGCCAAGTTTTTTATGCATTTCAACATTGCATAAATGCAGGTTTATGTATCAAAGGAGGCCCATGAAAATTATCGTAATTAATTAATTTAATGACATTTTTACTTTATTTTGGTTATAACGTGGACTATGTAATGGTATAATTGTTGAATGAAACCTTTGATTTATAGCAAATTTAATGTTCTTTCCAATGATTTTAACTATAACTCTCTAAAGTAATTGGTTAAGTTTTTATTACATAAATTGTGGAGCAAAGTCTAATAACATAAGAAAAACAAAAAATCCCCCAAAACAGCCAAACGGTCGAAAATCGGACATGGGTTTATAGGCACTTTTTTGTTCCTTTTAGTGAGTAGAACCCACTGGCGAAGTTAACACGGTCAGTAGAAACTCACCCTGTATAGAGTGACTCTTAAGTGAATGGCTTGTCATGGCTACTGTACATATACCTAAGTATACCCATAGACTAACCAACACAAAGAAGATTTGTTATCCCATTGTAAAATCTGAAATTGTTTTTCATAGTTTAGGTTGGTGACATTGAAATAACCTTGTCTGACAATAAATACACAAAGTAAAATGAAATGTTGTTAATGATAAATAAAAATAAAATAATTAGGTCATAAGCTAAATTATGTCTTTTAAAAATAAAACTTAGTAGCAAATCTTAAGACATTATAGATTTTAAAGTAAATTTTCAACACAAATAAAAAGGTAAAATACCAGTTGTGCTGTAAATGATCCTTGTTTATTCTAGATACCAAGAGTTTGAACTTAAAGGTTCCTTTTTAAGCTGAAGTCCACTAAGTTATGATTGTGAAGATTCAACATATATACTACAAAAATTTAACAAAGATTTTGCCAAATTTCAATACTGAAGAGCGGTTGCGTAATGTAGGCGGCAGATGAGTCATGACTCCCTTGGTTCAAACCTTGGTAGCTAAAAAAAAAATAACTATTATCGACAGTACAACTGCTATTTAACTTTTTTATTTGAAATTTTCAAGAGTCAAACCTTAAACCAGCCTCTGGATTGAACGATATTTTTTGCTCCTTGTTCACTTCTGGTCCGAACCCCATGAAGAACCTCAGTAAGTTAAGTCTACTGGGCGATTCAGCAGACAAAGCGAGGGGGATGAGGAGGACAGCTGATAAATGCAGCATCTGGGGAATACAGGACAATGAGATATATGAGAATAATGAGAACCAACTAATACCTTGTTAAAAGTTTCTAATCCTTTACGTAATATGACACTCTATAAACAAAAAGTGATTTACACTACTGACTGAATGACATATGATGATAACAAAAATTGTATGTGTTCTTTCTACATAAACCCATATGCTTGTTGAGGGAGACTAATTGATTGTTGTCCGAGCAACACATCTAGAACTTTAACAAACATTATGTTATTAGAGTGAAAATTTAAAAACGTACGTTTTCATGTCCCTGGCCTTTTACTTCGTAGATACTGGATTTGTAGTTTATTATTATGTGTTTTAATATTTTTTGGGACGGGGGCAACATGTTACACACATTTATTTGGTTTTAAATAGGTTCTAGGTATTTTTTTCGTATTTTTAAAGTCTCGAAATTCACGACCATGACGTGTCCCTAGGGTAAATTTTCCAACTTTCACCCTGTTTTTAGACTAATTATTCATGCCGAAATATATAAAGCCATATTTTTATGTCATCAATGGTTATTAAACTTACAAAAAAGGAGCATATTATAATTTTATTGTCTATGCAAACTGATTACCATGACAAAATAAGTCTGTCCCTCGATTTGGCGTCACGACCATTTGGGAAAAATTTTCAACTTTGGAGCACGACAGTGGCAAGCCTGGCGTTGATAGAGTCAGTTGGTTTTAGAGACTAGTTCGGGGTGTACGTCAGGATTGTAGTGCCGGTCGTTTCGAGTTGAAAGGAGGAATTACAAGATTAATAAAGGAAAGATTGTGTTTTTTGTAATTTTGGTGTGTCCATGACCGTAAGTAGTCATTCGATGAAGTAGACATGGTGTTAATTTTTGTTTATAAGATATTTCAAGTGCTAGATTAACCTAGAAGTCCACTTTGTATCCTCGAACATGAGGTGCAGGGCTACCGCCAGAACAGAGCCGAATAACACGTAATTTCACGACCAAAGTTTCACGACCATCGCGGGTTTTTTCACGACCAATCCAGGCTTATGGATTATAGTGTGTTTGGTCGTGACAATAACTTTAATATAATTGTAATTTGAACAGTTTAGTTCAATTGAAACACTTATTTTTTTTATAACTAACAGTATAATTGAAGGATTGTTTAGAAAGATTTAGATTATTTCAGAAAATTCACGACCGTACCGCTTGTCCCTGACCATCACGTTTATGATTTCTATCATAAAAAATTCAAAAATTAAAATATCGTCATATTTCAATGTTTTATACACAAAAGAAGCACACCTCAATACAAACATAACGATTTTTCGGGTCTCAGGTAAGTTTTTTCGGAGTTATACAAACTTAAAAAGATTTTATTGGCTTTTTTTCAAGTTTTTGAGTTTTTTTTATTTTTTTCTAGAAAGACCAAATATGCCAAAAGCTCAGTGACCTTTTTATTGTATAATGGTCATAAAAGTAAATTAGTTTATAGCAAAACATAGTTATAAAAATAATATTAACTATTTTTAATATTCATTTAAATGTCTGTTATGGTCGTGACAGAATTTTGTGTTTTTCCACTAAAGATGCTCTTTAAAAAAAAAATACCAAAGATATTGCGTTACCATGGACATTTTATGAAACTTCAAATGTTAATGAAATAAAAATAATAATAAAAGTTTTGAAAAAAGGGGAACAAAATTTGCAAAGTGCTTTTCCTGAAAACGTACGTTTTTAAATTTTCACTCATTAGTTATATATTATATATATTATAGCTACTACTTCAACAAACTACCAAAACAAAAATGTTTTACTGGGAATTTACTCTAGGTTAATGAATAGAAGAGCCTTTATATTTCACGCAAGTTGTTTTTACAGTCCTTATTTTCTGCGGACCACTGGAGGTTGCAAATACTGCATATTTTACTTTGCTAGCAAAATGTGTAAAATCAAAATGTATCAAAACCAGAACTTAAATTTAATATATTTTTTTAAAGCATGGGATTCTAAAAAGAGATTGCAGAAGGTATGTTTTCCGTGCCACTTGCATGTTTTATAGCCAAATGAAAAAATAAAAATATTAAGTGTACTGCAGGTGATATCAATGCTAAGTAAATTTAAGTTTTTGAGGGATCCAACATGCTGAAAGATGTTAGGGTAAAAATGTCAAATACCTACAATTTGAACACAATTAAAATAACCATTAAAGTCCCAAAATAAATGCCCATGTAGCATTTGAACCAGGCTCATTTGTTATGTATGCAAACAGAAACAAATTAATTTTAAATTTGTTATAAGGTTCACTCATTACCAAATCTAAATATCGGTACTGAACTGTACTACATTACAACTACTGGGCATAGTTGATAAAATTTAGGCCTATTTTTAAATGGTTGGTATTTATATGGTGAGAGGGTTAACTCACCATGATATTCATAGTGAAGAGATGTGATGCAATCTAGAAGGCTGTGGATTGAATGCTGCTCTCCCTCTCTCTCTCCTCTTCTTTTTTACTCTCCCTTTCATAGAAAGTGAAGTGTTGATCTGGGGAACAAGATAGCCACTAGCCAGTCCAGCTGTAGATGTTGGTAGTCTGAAATCTGAGAACACTTGCTTACAAGACTTGCTCTATTCTTGTATTTATTCATTTTTGAGGGGGCAAAACAGATGTAACCATCCAAAACTCAATTTAAAAAAAATGTCGGTAATAAAATAAATTTTTCATTTATAAAATGCTATAGGCCTATTATAAGAGGGAGAAAGTAAAAAGAAAACTTAGGCTTATTGAGCCTTGGGTAGAATAATTACTGTAAATTACTAATAACCATTATGTCATATACAATTTATTTACCAATACTTTAATACTTTTTAACTGAAATGCAGTCCATACAAAGGTAGGTATTTTAAGCCAAGTATGAATGGAAGGGTGAGTGACTTGTGGCGTGATCATGTAGTCTTGTTACTGACTAAAGCTGGGTTTTCCTAGACGCGGAGTCGGCCAGCGGAGAGCGGACAACGGAGAGCGGACTCAGCTGGTCTTAGGCAATTTAATGTTACTGTTTTCCTAGCAGCGGAGCGGAATGCCATGTTAATTTCAATTCCGCTCTCCGTTGTCCGCTCTCCGCTGGCCGACTCCGCGTCTAGGAAAACCCAGCTTAAGAAATTTTCCTCAGACAAGGCTGTTAATGAATAGCCCATACAGCCAATAAGGGACTACATGGAAGTTGAAGTTATACTACAAAAATCTTCTGTTTTGTTGAGTGTGTAAGTCACAGCACAATCTGGGATATCAAGAATAACAAGTTCCAAATTTGTTGAGGTACACCAGCACATATAACAAATCAGGCAAAGTATGCATGGGCGTCCATAATGGGCTTGTGGGGGCCTAGAGCCCCCCTCTTTAAGAACCCACATTTTTAGATTTTGCAGTAAAAACATAAAATTAATAATTTATGTACAATATTAAATAAAATCTAGCATTTTTACCTAAATTTGAAACATTTTCTGGGAGAGGACATGTAGTGGCAGGGTTAAATATAGATCTGTGTCGTTGGATGGACATTTGAAATCAATCTTAACTATCAGAAGTACAAATTTCAGCCTTCAATTAGCTGATATTTTAACTGGCAAACACAATATTCCCATTAAAAATTAATGTACTTTTTACACCTCACACTTGTCATAAACTCCTGTATTGTAACATTTTCTTGTTGCCATTACAATTAAACATTCTATAAATTAAAGTTTGTAGTAGATAGAAAAGATTTATGCCATCCTGTGTTTTCATTAGGCCTCTATGAAATGCCAGCTAGCCGACAACAAATAACAATCATCGAGATGGGGACGCAAGTTATATATACAGATAATAAAAACCAAGCGAGAAAATCTCAAAAACAACCCATAACTCTTGATCAGGATTATTATGTACAATATTGTACAAGTATAATCCAATAATAGTTGTCAACCAGCTAGCTTACCTGGTAGATAGAGACCAGATTAGCCTTGGCAAAACACATAACAGAAAACTTAATATTTTGTCCCAGTTAGGGACTTCATCAGATGGGAGAACAAAGGAGACTGCTTTCTGAAAGAGTCTCTTTCTTCTTCCCTTCTGGTGAAGTCCCTAACTGGGATGAAATATTAAGTTTTCTGTTATGTGTTTTATGTGTGTTACCAAGGCTAATCTAGACTCAGGTAAGCTAGCTGATCCCTATACTTGTACATAATAATCATAATCAGCCAATTGACCTTTCCCTAACTTCTAAACTCTTGATCAGTCAACGACTTCATATGGGCTTGTTGGGGAGGTGGGAAACTTTCTGCACTGAACTATGATTGGTCCGCCTCCCCTCCAAAAATTTACAATATCGCTCTCGAGGAGAAAAGGTTAGAGATCCCCGGTCTTGGTGTAAAACATTTTAAAAGAGCCCAGAGTTCTATGATGGAAACCTTAGTAGTGCACAGAATTTGCTAGAGAGCAATTAGAGAAATGTCATGTACTGTTCTATCTGGACTGAGGATTCCATTCGTATTGTAAATTACTCATAATCCAATAGTCTTTAAAATAATATAAGGATTGTAGCTTAGATTGAATATTATATTGTTTAGCTTACATTTTCTATCCCATTGTTTGTGGAGAGTGTGTTTTAACCTTTAGAGGCCTTCAGCTTTTCATCACATTAAGTTAAATAATTGAATCTTGGCTACGTTGTGTTGAAGCACCTGCGTCAGTTTGAAGATGCATTTTTACACAAAACATACATTCATGACACGGAAAATTATTATAACATAAAGTACGATTACATGAGCAGGCTCAGGGCTGCGGCAACACTTGGTCGTATGACAAATTGTAGTGTTTGAACAGTAATTCATTATTGGAGGAATGGGAATTGGATAACGTGAATTGATTTGAATGAACAGGAGTGGGAGTTAAAAAATGTATACAAATCAATCTTTGGAAGTTTAAAGGAGGGTAATAAAACTATAAACCATCCAGTAAAAAGTGTATTTATTGAAAACAACAGTTATCACGGACAAAATCAAAGGAAATTTGTTCTGATAATAACGACCTTAATACAAGAAATTTGTAATCACAGTAACATGGTTTTTAAATTCATTAAATAATTTTACTAACCACTTTAAAAAAGCACTGTAAGACTTTCCTAAACTTGTACATATTTTTTTGCTTCAACAAAAGCATAAAATATAGATGAATAACAACAATTAGCTTTGGTAATGTTATCAGATACTACCTAATGAATTAAATTATATATTACAATAATAAAATGATGATTTTATTTAGATAACATACAAGTTAGTAAAATATTTTCTTGATAGCAAGCATGGTAATGTAACACACAAAATCTACAATATGTACAAATAAAGTTTATGTACTAGGTCAAAATAGACTTTAGTTTAAATAATTTTTGTAGCTTCCAGAATTATGTAGGTAGCTTTGCAGGATGAAATCACTGTAATAACTTTTGATTTTATATAAAAATGTAACCTTTACCTTTCCAACTATTTGTTTTTAGTTTTTATGCACATTTTTACTTTGTGTTCAACCCAAATATATTTTTTAAACTCCTTAATATAGCCTATATAAAATGTATCTAAATAATGCCAAAAATAAGTTTATTCATACTAAAAAAGGAGGATGGGGCAATCTAGTCCAAGAATTTATAAAATCCCAATTGATAAAATGGGATTTGTGCTTTTGCAGTTGCCTTTTTCGTAACTAATAACAATTTTAAAAAATGTGATGAATTAAGGGTAAACATTATTCCCAAGCATTCACTTGACAACAAATTATTAGTTTTCGACCAGATAGCAACCTATACGTTTCAGAATGGACAAGGACCACACGCAAAACAGTGACTAAAGTCTACTATGACCCAGCAGTTTTACACTATATACAATGTGTTTATCTACATAGCAAAATACAATGATACAAAGTATACAATGATGAGCGTATATTGAGTGCATATAGAATGGCAACATGGAGTTTTGTTACAACACATTCGGCTGTTCAGGAATGAGACTGAGGAAGAAGCTAGAGAATGCCGCCCAGGTCAGTGCGAGGGTAGACGGAGGTGCGGGGGGTGCGGGGGCCGGGGGTGGGGGGGAGTTGTTGTTGTCTGGTGTAGGTGGAGGTGTGGCGGGGACTGGTGGCTCCTCAGGTTGGTCCAGACGCTGTACCGCTCTGAAGAACCCCACTTGATATCTGTAAACAAATTCGTGCCATATTTTTCAAAATATTAAAGAGATTTGATTTCATATGATATTATTTGATATGAGATCGTTTAATTTTTACAGCAGTACTAGTACTAAATGAATATCTTACTGTTTAGTATTTAGATTCAATATAAAAGTTTGTTCTGAAGAAATAGTTACTTACACTGATGCTACTGGCATTTATATCATACGTACGAACACTAAATAATATCTAAAACGTAACAATTTCTAACTAAAATAATTTCACTATAGACTAAAACATAAATTAAAACTAATATCTTTAAAATAAACTGTACACGTTTGCATTACATTTGACATTACGTTTGCAACGTTGGCATTACGTTTTTTACATTTGCATTACGTTTGAATGAATTGCAAACGGAACTCATAAACGTAGATCTACCCACATGTTTTACACATGTTTTACATTTTGTAGGGTCTTTGTTACAAAATAAACAAAGAATAAAACATGTTGTTGGTAGCAACAGTAAAGGAGCGAAAAGAACCGACAATTAATAATTTAAATCTTTTAGACTTAATTGACACATTAACCAGATATTAAGTCCTTCGTATTGTTGCGTACTATATCAAATCAAATCGGATTTATTTCCCCAATAGTTTTAAAACCAAAATAAAACTATGTTTCTTTCAAAAAGGATATGAAATATGAATAGCTGAAGACTGATAATTCACTGAAGCCGATTATTACATCATCGCTGTTAAGCAAGTCGTAGCACCAAGAGGGTTCATAAAGTCACTAGGCTGTTTAGCAGCTGCTACTAACCAGCCGTTAGTTAATATCGCCAGCCGTCAGCAGAGCTGTAGGGTTCACATTATAACCACCAGCCGCCAGTAAATGGCCGCTATTTTGTAGACGTCACCTGCTCCTGGACCAACTTTGACTTCTTTATGTCGTAATTCTTGTCATTCGCCTATTGGGTCTGATGATGATGATTGGAGTGTCCAATCGAAATTGATTACCACTTACCATCTTTTTTGTATATTTACCGTCTTGTGAGTAACAGTATAAGCGTAAATATATGTTTTAAGTATTATAAGACGTTTATTTTATTTACTTTCCTTAAAAAATAACCCGACACTTGATAGTGCAATGCTGCTGACATGTGATGTGTTCTGACAGGTGTAAAACATATTTCTGGTTACATTTTCCAGTAAATCTTTTAGTACTGGAGACTACAAGAAACTAAACATACTGTCAACTGTAACAAAGTCGAGTTGCAATTGGAGGTACAAAAAGGGATACACCATGAATAGAAAAAAAATATTCTAGACTTATTACATTTACAAATTTGCGTAGTATTTTCAATTCATCCTTTACTTGTTTGTTTATAAATAAATAAAAGAAAATAGACACAACAACTTACAGGTACATGATGATTCCGAGTGTGAAAACAACAAAGAAACGGACAGGTGAAGAGTAGAAGTAGACAATGCTGAAGAGCACCAACGTACGACTCATGATGTAGAACCAGTCAAGCCAATCTCTGTTGCCCCGAAGATCCTCTTCTTCTACATCTGTAAAGGAAAATAAACATCCAGTTGCCAGTTCGATCAGAAGATGAGTCTTTAGAGTTTCATGGATATATAATAAGATCCAGCCTTTCCATTGTATTTTGGGTAGGCCCTATTTAATTCATAATTCTGATTAACTAGCTTATCTTGGTGAACAACAGGGCAACCATATAATTTAATCAACACTCATTCTTCACTTTAAAATTTAGTGTGTTAGTAAAAAAAATTAATCAAATATTTTGATGTAAAAAGCGAAATTTAATTAAAATTTGTATAACAGTGGATTGTTATATGTTATGTTTTGTTATGATTCACTTCTCCTTTGTTAGCTACTATTATTTTTCTGTGCTTTTTTAGCTCAACATTTATCTCCTCAATATATTAGTGAAGTATTTCATTTAGATATAACATCACTATACATTGGTGACCTTGACATAACAACAACAATAATTTCTATCTCAATCACTGATGTCACTTAAATACATTAAGGAAGAAGGAATGGATACTTAACTTACCTAAGAAAAGAGTTCCAGGTAGTTAAAAGCATACAAAAAAGTTAACAACACAATTAACTTGATATTTCACCCTACAAACCAACAACTCTTCATCATAGAAAAACTTGTAAGGGTCAAATATCAAGTTTATTGTGTTGTCAACTTTTATGTGTGCTTTCAACAACCTCAAACTCTTTTCTTATTAGTTGTGTATCCATTCTTTCTATAATATGTATTCCTAAGCTATGTGCTTTTTACTCCAAAAAACTAATTTCACTGAAAGAAATCAAAGCTCAATTAGCAAATCTTGTGAGAATTATCCTGAGCTGATTGCCTTAGTTACTCACTGGCGGGCGGGGGGTTGACAGGGGCTTGTTCCTGCGGAGGATGCCCCGCAGTGGGGGAAACACCAGGTGGCTGCATCACATTAGGCACACCTCCAGCAGCCATCCTGAGACACATATCTCACTTATTCAACATTTCAGATACAAAGTTGCAAGGAATAATCTATGTACAGAAACTTTATGCCAGCAAGAATCCATAGAAAGAGTAAACCTCATTTAGACAGATTTCTGGTAAACAATTTACACAAAAACATACACAATTGATATCAATTTACTGTGTTAACCACTTTCATTGCATGTGCCCCACTTTTCTTGTTTTAAAAACTTCAAGTATTTATTCTCTCCACATATTTATAAATTATAGTATTTTCAACTTTTTAGTGTGTTTAAAAAGGTGGTATTTTAAAAAGTTTTTTTTTTATTTATAAATTATTTTAATTTTAATGTTCTTGAGGATTTTGTTAACTGATTATTTAGACTATGGATCAATTATCGACTTACTAAAAGATCGAATTGATTGTATCAATAAAGAATGGTTCTTATTTAATTATTTAATGCCAAAGCATCAAGCAAGAGGAACATAACTAAACTTACATTTTCAATTATTACTACGCAAAAACCTCATTACAACAACTGAAAGCTACTTAGGAGACTAATATGGCTCTATAGTACTAAGCTTGGGATTTTTGTTGACCAGTATTGTTGGTATATTGGACCGTTAGACCTTCCGAGTGTGTCTAGAGACAGCAAGTGTGGTAGGTCTGCAAAGCAACTCATAAGGAGTTCATCAGTTAGTGGCAGAGCCCACCCAAGCAGTGGATGCCAGCTAAAAGTTGACCAGATGAGTAGACTCTTTGCGAATTTTCACTCAAACTAGGTATACTAGGCCAAATTTCATCCATCTTTGTTGTGTGTATATGCACCATACATGTTTGAAAGAGTTTAGATTTATATGTCCAAAGGATCGGGAAAATAAAAAGAAACCTCTGGGTCTCAAAGGGTTTAGGACATTCTGAGATCTGGGATCTGGGGTTGTGTGTTGGTAAAATGATGTTATTGATCAGTACTGAACACATTGTTGATCAGCACTGAACACATTACTTATCAGTACTGAACACATTACTGATCAGTACTGAACACATTGCTGATCAGTACTGAACACATTGCTGATCAGTACTGAACACATTGCTGATCAGTACTGAACACATTACTGATCAGTACTGAACACATTACTGATCAGTACTGAACACATTGCTGATCAGTACTGAACACATTGCTGATCAGTACTGAACACATTACTTATGAGTACTGAACACATTGCTGATCAGTACTGAACACATTGCTGATCAGTACTGAACACATTACTGATCAGTACTGAACACATTACTGATCAGTGATCAGTACTGATCTCATTACTGATTAGTACTGAACACATTACTGATCAGTACTGAACACATTGTTGATCAGTACTGAACACATTGCTGATCAGTACTGAACACATTGCTGATCAGTTCTGAACACATTACTTATCAGTACTGAACACATTACTGATCAGTTCTGAACACATTACTTATCAGTACTGAACACATTACTTATCAGTTCTGAACACATTACTTATCAGTACTGAACACATTACTGATCAGTACTGAACACATTGTTGATCAGTACTGAACACATTGCTGATCAGTACTGAACACATTACTGATCAGTACTGAACACATTACTGATCAGTGATCAGTACTGATCTCATTACTGATTAGTACTGAACACATTACTTATCAGTTCTGAACACATTACTTATCAGTACTGAACACATTACTTATCAGTTCTGAACACATAACTTATCAGTACTGAACACATTACTTATCAGTTCTGAACACATTACTTATCAGTACTGAACACATTACTGATCACTTATCAGTTCTGAACACATAACTTATCAGTACTGAACACATTACTTATCAGTTCTGAACACATTACTGATCAGTACTGAACACATTACTGATCAGTGATCAGTACTGATCTCATTACTGATTAGTACTGAACACATTACTTATCAGTTCTGAACACATTACTTATCAGTACTGAACACATTACTTATCAGTTCTGAACACATAACTTATCAGTACTGAACACATTACTTATCAGTTCTGAACACATTACTTATCAGTACTGAACACATTACTTATCAGTACTGAACACATTACTTATCAGTACTGAACACATTACTTATCAGTACTGAACACATTACTGATCAGTACTGAACACATTGTTGATCAGTACTGAACACATTGCTGATCAGTACTGAACACATTACTTATGAGTACTGAACACATAACTGATCAGTGATCAGTACTGACCTCATTACTGATCAGTACTGAACAACATTAAGATTGAAACTGAATCGAAAAATTTGTTAACAAGTCAAGAGGTAATGAGTGCTGTTTACACTTACTGCAGCTGTGTTAACACATGTTGAATAAACAACACCATGAACAACCTTGGAGTAGGTTAATTTTACCTTTGTTTACGTAGATAATAATGCCCTTTTGACATTGTGTTTGTATTGATAAATAAATCAAATTGAAGATAAAAGTATTCCCTTAATATCAAGTTTACTTATAGTTTCAGATGCATACTAGTTTTAGATTTTTTTAAATACACCTCGCTGTGGAAAACAGACTATAAGGACTGAGCCACTTCTTTGATCTTTGAATAAAAATGGTGCTGCTTGAATACAAAATTGTTTCTCATTTGCAATGTGAAATATTTTTCTGTAATTTGTGTACATTGGAGAAGCTATAATTTATTTTAAGGCTGCCCATTTTACATTATATTGAAATAACAAAGGGGGTTTCACGTAAAGCAGTCTTCTCGACATCACCAATACAATAAAAGCACATTTCAAAACAACCACCATTCAAAACAAAAAATGTTGACGAAAAAAATAGCCTACTTTCTCAATTATATATAGTTTAGGGGTAGAAAGCAAAAATGTTAATTAAGAAATTTGATAGTTGTATATTTACTGAAGGTCTATTATTCTTTTGGCGTGTATTTTTACATCATGATAAAAATCGTTCATAACTTGTACCGAAAGTGATTTTCTGGCTCTTGCCCCAATTATTCCCGTCCTTGACTTCTCCTAATACGTGAAACTTGGGCATAACACTTTTGGTACAAGTAATGAAATATACAATTCCTGCTTTGCTTCTACTGTCACACTTGACCATACTCACAGTTGCATGTATTGTGTCATGTACTGTGCATATGCCTGCTGCATCCAAGCCATCTGTTGAGCCATAGTGGCACTGTCATAGGAGACCCCCCCTACAGGTGGCCAAGTGGGGGGTGTATAGCCGGGGGGCCACTGTGGCTGGGGGGGTAGAGTGGGCACTCTGCGACGGAGGTTTTCATTACTGGGCGTCTGAAACTGTGGCTCCTGGGGTCGAGCTGTCAGGAAAAATACTATAGTTTAAAACAAGATTAATAATAGGACAAAAGCTTTATAATAAACCACAAGTAGTCGTAAAATAAATTTAAAAGTGATTTAGGATGTTTACTGAGGATAGATTTACAAAATATCACTTTAAAAGATTAAAGCTTGTAGGTTAACTCTAGTTAGTGCAAAGTAGTGATGTGCGATACGTATCGTATCGTATCGGAATATCGCGATACGCGAGGGACGATACGATATTTCGATACGATATTTGAAAAACGATACGTATCGTATCGCCTAAAACGATATTTGTATTTATATCGGCACATAGAGCGATACGATTCATGTCAAAACGATATTTTTAAGCTTTTTTTGCGCAGGCCGAGCAAACTGCAAAATCTGTACTCTGTGGATGTGTAGTTTGAAATAGGAATTTTTGACGTCTGTATTTTTGGTTTTTACTTTATAATGTACCAGTCCCATCCCAGTCCAGTCCATTTCCTTCCACTAGCGTTCTATCTAGCACTAGCAGTGCAGAATGTGGGAACTGTCTGTGGCAATTACATTAATGTGTCTGCAATGCTAAAATGCTATGGGAAGGATAGGGAAACAGGTCCAAGACGTAGGGAGTTGTGAAGGAAGGAAGTAGTAAAGGCGAGCAGTGTTGGAGTGTGGGAATGGATTAATGTATCTGCAATACTTAGACTGTTTTCAGAGTAAACTAATGATTTTCCCTGAGCAAAGCTCGGTCCCCAGGTACTTACATAAATTTGCCGTTTCTAGGTTAGGTAGGGGAGGGGGAAATTTCCTTCCACCATGGGGGAAAACGATACGATACGTATCGTTTTTCGATATTTTTGACGATACGATTCGCGTATCGCGATACAGACGTCCGATTCGATACGGCGATACGATATTTTTTTCCGATACGTATCGTATCGCTGTATCGCGATACGCGTCCGTATCGCCCATCACTAGTGCAAAGGTTTATTCTTAAGATAATGAAGATTTTTAGACATCACCAAGTTTTTTAAGTTCATCCAAGTTAATGCAGTTCAAAGCATGATCTGCTTAGCAGAATGAACAGCTGTTTTTTAAATTCAATTTTTTTTCAATAAACCTCGAATCATCGGATTGGGTGAATCTTTTAGCTAAGTGATTGTTCGTGTGTCCTTGAAATATGCAGATCACTAATGGCCGTTTTGCTACTTTTTGTTAAAATAACCTTCTTCTCTACAGTAGACTCCCTCTAGTTCGGCTTCGGTTGGATCGGCCGCCGGGTGGTCCGGCCCGGTTTGAGGGGGACAAGTCATATCGTCACGGGTGAATTGCCTTCGACAGGATTAAACTTAAGAATGTTTAGTTTCCGGCCAAAGAAGTAAACAATTAATGTCAGTTTAGTTGACGGGTGCTTCTATGGGTGAATTGTTGCATATTACCTATGTAAAACTATGTTACATAACCTCAAAAATACCGAGAACATTTTATAAATAGTTTTTCTTCGGTTTAATATGTTGAAATGCAGTGTATAATTAAATATTTCGGACCATTTTTTTATGCGGTAGGTTCCCCCATTATTGTTTTTGAAACACCACAGTTTATTTGACAAAAATAAATTGAAGCAAAACAAAGAAATAGCCATCGTTAGCTTGAAGGTCAAGCTATCCGCTTGCACTGACAATCATCTGCTCTTTACACAACTGATGTCTGCTGTGCACTTGTTTGCTATCTCACAACAGTTTGTGATTGGGTGATTAGTAACCATGGCAACTTGTTGAATGTGTGGATGAAGAGAAACCAAAGAAAGAATAGAAGAACAAAGAAGAAAGAATAAGCGGTGTTTTACGTCATCCATTGTTATTTTTATCCTATTTGACGACTGTCGTTATTATCTTTAAGACCAAGTACGTGTACTATGATTTTATGCTGTTTTATGAGATGTCTAATGTTTTTATCGACATTCTTATGTTCTGAAACAACATGTAGTAGTAGCCTATGCTGACTACGGTAGCAGTAGCTTGCAGGATTAGACTTTATATTGTTCTGTTCTTTACGTGATTTATTGCTGTACGTACAGTGTTGTGTAACTTTTGTTTTGCTTGAGTAAGCGTGAATTTAAACGTTACAGTTTTTATTACTGAACCAAGGTTATTGACTTAACATCCCACGATTGCGCAATACTATTATTTGTATTTTGATTATGTAAAATGCACTACATCCGGTTAGTCCGGCCGTTTTGTAGTTTGGCCAGTGGTCCGGTCCCGAGTTGGCCGAACTAGAGGGAGTCTACTGTATATCCCAGATTTGATAAAACAACAATATAGTGTTACATAGCAGTCAATGGGTTAATAAACTAAATTCTTCCAAAAATATGTTGTTATAAACAAATGGACATAATTATTGTCTTTCGCTATTGAGGCCAAATTTAAATTTTCTTCATCTCCCGTGATATAGGGACATAATCAGCCTCCGGTGATTTTAGAAAAATTAAGATCATCTCCTGCAGTCACAAAGACACCATCACTGTCTATTTTGTTAGTATGAATAGTCAATGAATAGTCAATGAATAGTCAATGAATAGTCATTTATTCCATCTTTAAACAATACAATATTGTAATTGATTTCGTCAAAAAAATCCTTAAACTAATACACAAAATTATCACAGTAGCTATAAATTATATCACAGATTGAGATTGGCTGCATTTGATTTGATATGAAAAAAATATCCCAAATTTCTGAAGTCATTTGGGTACCCTGTTAGCCCCAGGGCTTCAGCCATTGCTGGCTACCCAACCTGGCTAGACCACCTCTGATACTGAGAATTTATTGGTAATATCCCGTTCTTAATTAAAATTGTTCTATTAGGGAATATGTATAGAATTGTTTAGAAACCGTGAGTTGATTACTATGTCCATTTTACACAGAGAGTAATTAATATAGTAGTCTATTTAGGTTTTTTAGTCTTTATAATATGTTTTTGATAAAAACAAAAACATGTTTTCATTGCTGCTTCTAACTACGATGAAACAATATAGAGTAAAGTTTTTACCACTTCATCTCTGAGATATATACAAATAAGCTAATACAATCCATGACTATGAATGTCTTTGAATTAAATCAGTGACTTCCACAACTTCAGTGACTAGTGGATACCTAGCTGTATCAAGAAGGGACTGATCTAGCGAAACTAAAATTAGAGCGTTTCTGAGAATGCGTTTATTAAAAAATTTCCATTTCAATCACACAGCTACGGCATCATACTCACGGGCCTGTGTGGAGGGCATTGCCGCTGGTTTACTGCAACTTGCCGAGGGGGATCTCAACGTTTCTTTGGGCGGAGAACAGACTAAATGTACCGTGTGATTCTGTTGACCTTCGTAACTCCTCAGTACATCCTTCAGAGTGACATTGTCAGTCAGCAGTTGACCAGAGTAAATCAGCTTCTGGTCCTCTGAGCGCTGAAATAAATTGTGAACAAGTTAAAATATAAATGTTAAACAAAAACAATAACAATCATGTATGAAATAATACAACTAATAATATAAACAAAAACCCAAAGCATCCAAAAGAAACAAAACATCTAAAAGCCCTTCAAGTATCAAAGACTATGTTTTAAGTTTAACCCTAGGTAAAAAATAATCTGTTATGCTATGTAATACATTGGGTAGTCTACTATGAAATGTTTTTGATTTCTTTTTAAAATTAATCAACTCGAATCCTGTCTCAAGGTTTGGGGTAATGGAGAAAAAATGTGCGCCAGTGTAGGTAGGTTTCTCTTTTTTAAACAGTTCTAGATTATGGGCGGGTAAATATTGCAATATTGTTGTATATTTCTAGTATTATAACCATGAGTGGTTCCAAATGGTTTCAATGTATATTCTCTTTCCTTGAATTGGATGATGGTTTGATATACATTGTACATTCCGACACAAACTGTCATTATTCTAGGTGGAATAAAGTATTCCTTTACAGGTGTTTTTGGTTGAAGTTTTAATATAGGTCTTACATCCTTCAGTTATTTCAGGGGCAGATCCACAGGGACATTTCCCACCCAAACGAAGAATTTTTTGTCAAAATATACAATGTAATAAGTAAATAAAATTACTTTCAATTTAACAAGTGTCCAACACTTATTAATAAGTGTCATTATAGTTTAAAAAGCTTGTTTCAAAGTTCAAAATTTTATGGGGAAGGCCCCCCAAACCCCCCTCTGCCTAGGGGTTTCCATACCCCCTGGAAGTTCCCCCCCCCCCCCGCAAACTTTGCTTCTGGATCTGCCCCTGAGTTATTAAGGGTTGTGAAACCATTGAAGGTAGCCATAAGATATTATTGAATGTAGCCCTAATTTTTTAACAAGGGAGTTCCAATTTAAGTTTTGGTCTATTGTGTTGTATTTAGGCCTATAAAATTTAGTTTTGTTTTGTCCAAGATTTTTGCCATTTTTAGTTTTTTTACACTGTCCCAAAAATGTAAAAATACCCACGACAAAATTATATTGGTAAGTAGACCTAAGAAGTTGAGGAATGAGGATGCTAAAAGTTGAGTTTTTACTAAAGTATTAAAATATGTTATACCGGTACTGGACATATTATTTTGCCTTGGTAGACCATTTTAACAGATTGTAGCACATTTTTTTTGCTTAAAATGTTTACATTATATGGTAAGTCTATTCTGTACATAGTAGTCAATGTTATAACTTACCAATTTCTAAACTCAAGCACAACTTTAATTTTAATACCATTCAAACTTCTGTTTCTCTTTGTTTAGACAATAGCATAAAATAATTTACGATGTAGCATGAATTTAATGGAACCCACTCAATCAATGAAACTATCAATCATAAAACTAACCCATTTTTAGTTTATGTTTATTATTGGTGTTATAGGATGATAAATATTGTCATTGTTAAAAATAAAATCATATGAATTTTAATAGCAATTTTTGTGACAGCTGCATATCATATTTTTTTATGACTGATGATTCAAAAAATTAACTGAACTATAAAAGTAAAGGTTTCATGATACCTCTATTTACATAAAATTCTATCTCACAACATAACCAGTAATTTCCATTTATAGTAAACAATAATGTTGTTTTCCATTTTTGCACAGATAGGCTAATCAATAATTACTAATTGTCAACTGTTTTTACTATAGCCTTTGTTATCTTGCTGTCTTATCACTGAACTAGTTTGTAATCAAAACCATTGTTTCTTTATTGGTTATGTTTAGAGTTATAAATTTTATAGTTACCAAGTCATAACAAAACTACCATATTTTGCAACGATTTGAGTTTTATCAATTCAAAATATTCGGTTGGCACATTAAACCTAAAGTAGGCCTACATATAATTCAAGGCAAAATGCCAAGAATAAGTACAAAACTGATTAAAAGCTTAAATGGTTCTTTAGAATTGACAAGCTTATTATAATTGATTAGCAAACTGGTACCTAAGTTAAATGATTGAGTATTTTGTAAGATTGTCTTTTTTAAATGTTTAAGTTAACATTCAATTTGTTATTAAATAACATCAGCAATAGCTTGTTCTCAATTTTGCGAATTTCCCTACAGGGAAGTAGCTATTAGGCCTACCATAGGTCTTGAGGTAAGACTTGAGCCTGGGGCCGATTTACTTTTTCATTTTGATGTCCCCAGAGGCTAAAAACACTATTTGTTAAAATTTGTATACATGTAGGGCCTATATATCAATATACCGGTATATTTGTCCGTGAACGCGATAAGTTGAGTAATTTTTGTTCAATTATGATGAAATTTGGTTTTAAGGAGTAAGGCGGAATAAATTTGAATGAGTTCTTGAACCAGCATGATCAGACAATGGGCATGTGGTTTAATGGGGTAAAAATTTGTTTTTCTCATTTTTGACCATCAAAACACTAAATTTTCCAATTTCTCTCTTAGATCATTTTAAAGAGCTTAACAAGACAAGTAATTTAAGTATATCAGAGTGTTTTTAAACAGTTATTAGTAACGAAGAAAATTCCAAATATTGTAAATTCAAAATTCCCATGTTATTTTTATGGAGAATATTGTAGGTCTAAAATGTTGTAGTTTGCTTGCTTATGAATATATTTTGATCAAACTTGGCAAATTTATTTATTTTATACTAAGTTATTAATATTTTACTAAAAAACACCCTCTCTGTAGCAGCAAGCCTAGGTACTAATTAAACCTAATGTTAATTAAAATTTTACACTAAGGTATTAATATTTTACTAAAACTACACTTTATTAGTTTCCTTGTAGCAGCAAACCTAGGTACTTGTTAAACCTAATGTTATTTAAATAGATTTAATTGGAAATCAATTCAGACGAATGGAAATTCGCTTAGTCGGCAGGTTTGCTACGGCGGGGGTATTATCTTATTATGAGGAAGTGCTAGTGTACTAATGACTAACTACCGGTACCCAGCAATGCAAATATTAGATAAACAACCAATAATTGGGGGAAAGTTTTGGTAAAATACCTAACAAAACATGTAAGTAAAAGCATTTTTGACAGAATAAATACCCAGATAAAATGTGGTAAAAGTTCTACTTGCAGTTTATTTTTACGGAAACATTAATTTAAGGATAGATGTACAGAGAAGTAAGAGAAATAATATTAAAATAGCCTGTACAAGATAGGCTTAACATGTATCCAATCCTCTACATATGAGCTGAGATGACATGACACACTGTCTAAGCCTAATAACTTACGGTACCGGTAATAATTATAAATTAAAAGAGCAATTTCTTATGACACTCACAGTCATAGCTAAGGAATACTCATGTGGAGCATAATAAATATTGTAAATAGCCTATAGGCCCTAAATAGGTTTAATGATACCAGCGTGAATAAACAACCAAGAATTATTAATATACGGGGGTTATCCATGAATGTTTTTATCGAGCTTTACAATCGGTACACCTACTTAATATTGTACGCAAAAGCATGTGTTGTATCTTGCATCTCACTATAAACAACGAATAACGTACTGTAAACAAAACGTTGTCAAACTGCTAGCCGTGGTTTGACTTTGTTAGTGACCACTCGGATACATTCGGGCAAACCAGCATCGAATTGAAAGACTGGGAACGATGAAACAGACGATTAACTCAGGACGTTGCTAGCCAAAGTGAAACCAGGATAAAAAAACGTAAGTAGAAAGTGCAAGAGTTGCACTTTTAAGTCATCAATTGACCAAATTTGAAGCAACAAATAAACAAAAGTGTCGTTATTTAATATTTTAATGAATATTTAAAAAAAAGGAGATTCCTCACTTTTTGTGGAAATTTTCTGGAGCTAAATTTTGAGTGTTAAAATCCGGTATGTAATCTCCAGCAAAATATAGTGATATGGCAAACCTATTTTTGTGGCTATCCCAAACATGTTGTCGGGAGGGACATAGGCTATGAAAATTGTGTGGTTATGATAGTCAACTTATGTTTAAACAGCGGTTTTTTCTTCAGAAAATCTTTTAAATAAAACTGCCATGCTATTTCTAAGTAGGCTATAGGAATCGTATTCTCTAAAACCGTTTACTGATTTCAGGGAAATTAATTTTTTTCTTAAAACTTCATAGGCCACACCTTTAAAACAGTAACTTGTCTAGTGTTTGTTCAGAATTAGGCTTACAGAGCACTATATAACTTAGAATGCTAATTATGTATTGATCAATGCATTCTTAAAAACAATAGTAAGTTATGGAAATAAAAATTATAGGTTAGATAATGGCCAGTTACAATTTTAATGTAAAATCTTAAATGTAAGTTATGTAGACTACAGTTTTCTCCCTGCATTGAGTCTGTTCCAAAATGTAACATTAATTTAGTCATCACTATTTAACCCTCCGAGCGTCCATCGTCGTAAAATCGACGCGCAACACACTTTGTGTAGTGTCACGCGTCGATTTTTCAACGCACGAACATCGTTTACGGCGAAGGCTCTATGACTGACTGAATCGGATTGAACTGGATCGAGTTAGGTATCGTTCTTTTCGTTATATTCTACGCTTTCTCCAGAGGTCTGTCTCAGCGCTGTATGTTCTCCGAGCCGATCGTTATTGTAGCAGACAGCTGACGTGCGTATTTCTAAACAGCTAGGTTACCCTCGGACCGATGACTGATGTGTTTTATTACGTTTATCATTGTTTTAGTGTTAAAAATCAAAAGTAGTGATATACGTGGTGCATTATAAGAAGATTTTAGTGATTTTGAAGGGCTGGTTGATGATCCTGAAGAAGTAGGTAGTGATATTGATGTAAATTATCAGCCAGATTCCTAGCTATGGTTAGGCTATGCATTCTTAGCTAAACGCTATGTACTGAAATCTGTTTTTTGCCCACACCGGTAACTTATTTATTTGCAAATCTACTTCCTTATATTATTATATATTTGTAATCCTCATAAAATTTAGAACAAAGTGGCTATTTTCAAATATTTATAGGCCTATAATTTATACAATTTCATTGAGCGCAAACTTATTTTTTTTTTTAAATTTTCCAAAATATTTTTTTTTTACCTAAAAAATTTTTTTGAAACAAATGTTCCTTATGTTTTATGTATAATATTGAAGCCCATGATTTTCCAAACAAAATGGTATATAGAACAGTAGAATTAACATTGTTTTAAGCTTCTCAGATCCGTTTTAATAAAACCTTGCAAATGCGCCAAAAATAGGCGGACATTAAGGCCTAAACTATGGACACTCGGAGGGTTAAAATAGCATAGGCCTAGTTAAATTTGTAAAAAAATAATTATACAAATTTTCTACTTAACCTCCCTTGTCACCTGCACGGCCTACAAACTTCTCGATATACATATACAGTAATATACATTTAACTTACAGGTTTGCTAGGATAGACTTCAGACAAGTGTCCTTTCAACATTTTGATGGTCCAATTCATTTCACATTGAATAGTTTGATCTTCTATTTGCTGATTTGGCGCTTTGACGATTAAAATCACAGACTCCTCCATGGCAAAGGATTGTTTAAGTTATTCACCTAAAAACAAAAGAATTGTTATATATTGTTATAACAATTGTTCATAGGCTAGCCTATATTAAATATAGCATGCAAATACAAGATTATGTATAGGGCCTAGCCTAAGTAGTGATAATTTTTACACAGAGATAATTAGGTAATAAGTTTGTGATTTTTAGCGAATTTCCCATATAGGGAATAAGCTATTACCGTAGTACTCATGGTAAGACCTGGACGCGGGACCAATTTTTTTTTTTGTTTCGAGGTCCCTAGAGGCCAAAAACACCATCCGTTCAAATTCATATATATATATATATATATGTTTATATATTTATATATTTATATATATATATATGTGTCCGTTAGCACGATAACTCGAGCAAAAATGATCCGATTTTGATGAAATTTGGTACAAACGTGTAAACCTACGTTTATTCGAACGAGTTCGCGATCCAGCATGATCGGACCATGGGAACGGGGGTTTACGGGGGGTTTTATGGGGTAAAAATAGGTTTTTCGCATTTTTGACCCAAAAAACATAAAATTTAGCAATTTCTTTCCAAACCATTTTGTAGAGCTTAAAAAAACAAATTATTTAGTATATTGAAGCGTTATTATGCGCCTAATGGTTACGGAGAAAATTCCAAAAAACTGTAAATTTAAAATTCCCATGTTATTCTTATGGAGAATAAGTAAACTGTTGTAGTTTGCTTGTTTATGATCATATTTTAATCAAATTTGGATAATGCATTCATTTCATACTAAGTGATTAACATTTTACAAAAACACCTTTTTACCCTCCCTGTTGCAGCAAACCTAAGTACTCGTTAAACTAATGTTATTTAAATAGGGAATGAATGTGATATTTTTAAGGAGGCATTTTAGTGTAAATCCAATCAGGCAAATGGAAATTCGCTTAGTCTGCAGGTTTGCTGCGGCGGGGGTATTTTTTTTTTACAGAGGGCCAGGCTTACAAGTTACCATGGGATTGCATCGCAGCTAGAACAGCTTATTGTGCACCCTCGTTTACAGGTCCTCATTCTCCGTCAAATCCCAGGTCCTTGGTGAACCGTGAGATCCTTTTGACTAGGTAACCTGTTCTTCCCTTTGATCTCCCAACAATAGGCCAAGGGATCTCATACGCAGACCTTGTAGGGCTGGGCACATAAATATACCTTCACAGCTTTCACAAGGTCTCTGGCTGGGGCAAGCTGTAGCGAGATTTCCCTGAAAGGAATCGGCTCCTGAACTTGCTTGACCAGCCAATCCTTTGTGGCTGGGTCATTCCATATCAAATCAACAATTCCCTCAACCTGACCATCTTGGATTTTGATGAAATTTTGCATACTTGTAGTATTTTGAGTCCTGAATCCAAATATGCTTTTTAAAAAAATCTATCTTTTATAGTTTTTATGATATAAATATTTGAAAATGGTAAAAATTTGCGTTTTTTACCGTGCGCGCAAATCTAAAATGTTGTCTAGGATGAGTTCTATTGGTCCTATCAAGTTGCACAATGGTTCATTTTAAAGAGGATTCAAATGCCTTTAATCTGATACCAAACTCAACCTACTTTGGTAAAAATTAATTTTTTTTGAAAATTTCAAAATATGTTTTTGAAAAAAAATTTAAGATAGTGTTTTTTGAAAAATTTGAAAATTACATATGTTAAAGAATGTAATCTAGTAAGTACATTATAAAAATTTCAAAATGGGATGATAATGGGATCAGCAGTTATGATAAAAATACTTGACTATGGTTCACTGTTTCCAAGCGTTTTGGTGCATACAGCGTGTACGTACTAGTGTAAATGTATCATTTAATAAGAGTCTATTAACTGTATGATTAAAATTAAAATTATCTGCCTATATTTGAACTATGTATGTCATATTTTGCTCTAATATAAACTAAATCTAGCAAATAAACAACATTATTCAAGTTAACAGAGTTTCCGTCAACCTTTGAACATGGGGGCTACTTTGAACAAACTTTCCAATTTTCATATTTTATTTTTTTTCATATTAATTTTATCTTTAAATGATAATGTTTATTATAATTTTCTATTCCCAGATAAATACTCTACTTAAAAAAATATTTAATAGTGCATACTATGGTTCTGCAAAAAATTAAAAATACTTATTTTTCACTGAAATTTTTTTAGTTTAAAAAAAAGTCGTCCAAACTTCCATGTCTACAGCAAACCCAGTAAGTTTATGATTTATGACTTAAAACCATAATTGAATAGCCCATTTATCTGGGATTAAGAAAATACCTGATTTGATTACTTTGTAAGCAGTAATAACTTTAAAAAAAAAAGAAAGAAAAAATTACCCAATTTGCTGACCCTTACTTATGGCGTCGCGACCCTTAGTTCTGGAGCAAAATTTCCCGGATATGAAAAAAAAAAATACTTGGGTTTTAAGTTTTAAGTGTTATTTTTTTAAATGATTTTTCTAATGAAAACAGATGTTTTGAGCTTTAGTTATTATTAGCAGCCATAATCCAATTCCTTTATTTGACTGCTATGATATTTAAAAAATACCCTTGCAAAGTTAAAAAATAACCGGATGGACATTTTAAAAATTCTCCGTAACTTTTTTTAATTTTTGACATATCAAAATAAAAGTTATACAGAAATGTGGTATGTGGGTTGTGGTATTTAAATCTACAAATCAGTTTTCACTAAAAAAATTTTAATTATTAAAGTGAGAATACATTATTTATAGGTAGGCCTACTTATGAGCAGACATTTCTCCAAAACTAAATAATTAGGCTATCATGGAATATTATATATGTATCAATAATAAGGTTACTACAGGATTTAAATAGATTGATCACAGTATATTGTGTGACAAAATTATCAATGCTTGTTTGTCTCTCTCTCTTGTCATCAGAGGAAAGACAGACAAACATGGACCTATAGGTTTTGGCTCAGGTTCCTCAGTATTTTCCAGTTGTGTTGCAACGATTTACTGTAATCAATCTTTAAGTCTGCCTTTTCACTAGGCTGGAGGCACTAGTCAGCCACTAGATCTGTGCAAAATCACATTGTGAAGCACTTTACGTTTACACTATCAGGTCGCAGCGACCCACCTCGGCAGTAGCGACCCCGTCTTGAGAAGTTGTAATTTGTTTGACAGGTACACAGGTCTAACTTATGTTTGTCAGTCTTTCCTCTTGTCTCAAGACCGAGTCGCTACAGCCGAGATGGGTCACTGCAACCTGATAGTGTAAACGTAAAGTGCTTCACAATGTGATTTTGCACAGATCTAGTGGCTGACTAGAGTCTCCAGCCTAGTGAAAAGGCAGACTTAAAGATTGATTACAGTAAATCGTTGCAACACAACTAACTGGAAAAGACTGAGGAACCTGAACCAAAACCCATTGGTCCATATTTGTTCAAACGTTGACGGAAACTCTGTTAACTTTCAGAATAATGTTGTTTACTTGCTAGATTTAGCTTATATATAGCAAAATATGACATACATAATTCAAATATAGGCAGATATTTTTAATTTTAATCATATAATTAATAGACTCTTATTTAATGATACATTTAGGTTAGTACTTAAACGCTGTATGCGCCGAAATGCTTGGAAACAGTGAACCATAGTCAAGTATTTTTATCATAACTGCTGATCCCATTATCATCCCATTTTGAAATTTTTATAATGTACTTACTAGATTACATTCTTTAATATATGTAATTTTCAAATTTTTCAAAAAACACTATCTTAAATTTTTTTTCAAAACATATTTTGAAATTAAAAAAAAAAATAATTTTTACCACAGTAGGTTGAGTTTGGTATCATATTAAAGGCATTTGAATCCTCTTTAAAATGAGCCATTGTACAACTTGATAGGATTAATAGAACTCATCCTAGACAACATTTTAGATATGCGCGCACGGCCAATTTTTACCATTTTCAAATATTTATATCATAAAAACTATAAAAGATAGATTTTTTTAAAAAGCATATTTGGATTCAGGACTCAAAATACTACATGTATGCAAAATTTCATTAAAATTTAAGATGGTCAGGTTGAAAATAATTTTTTATTAGTTGATTTCATATGGAATGACCCGGCTGGAGGCTTCAGTTTGCAATTATGGTAAGTTGAGCAGTTGAGTTGTGCCAACCATCAACAGCCTGACACACAATATCCCTAAAGAGAACATCTCTTTTAATGAAATCTAAAATTTTTTGTGGATTTTGCAAAACTGCACCTTTTTGGGACACTGGGACTAAAAATACACCCAGTGACAGCTGCACTTTAGTATCTGTCCTACACTCATTCGGCTTCTCACGACTCACTGAGAATGCCCATCGGCAGTGCAGAGCACACATCAACCCCTGCAAACACAACAGGGGCACTCCCAAGGACTCCCAGTGAGAGCGTCGGTCACCCTTTTAGTCGCCTCTTATGACAAGCCCGGGAAGGCTGCGGTTCTATTCTAACCCCGAAACCGCAGGGGGGGTATGGCAACCTTAGACCTAGAAGGCCTATTAAAAAAACATTGTAGCCTACTTACGGTAACTTATGTCATTTAGGCCTACCTACTCACACTCTACAATAGGCTGGAGAAGACTTAAGACAGAACCAAAACCAACAATAAGTTAACCATTTCTAGAGTTAAATTAACTTACTTAGTCAAACAAAACCAGAAGGTCATCGAGTTAGTAGGCTAGGCTAACATACTGATGTTTTTGAAAGGGTATATTAAGTTAATTACCAACTTAAGGTTGCCCTTAGGCTTAAGGTGTTTAACAATTGTGTAAAACAAAAGTAAATAAGCAAAGTTTATACTAGGCCTATGTCGGTCAATAGTAGCACACTGATGAGCCCCCAGCATACACTTCAATCAGAAATAAGCTTATAAGATGTGCATATGTTAATCAAGACATTCTTAATAGATTGAATTTGAATCAAAGGATCCATGATGTTCCCACCCAGTTGGACACGAACTCGACCAAATAAACAGTCGATGATAGGCCTAGGTCTACGAGCAAAATACTTAACTTACTTACCGAGCTAGATCAATCCTTTTCAGTATTTTAATAATATAAAGCAATTATTAGTATTACTACGAGAGAGCTAAACACTTTGGCGTCAAACGAATCACAGTATATTAATATTATCACTTCCAACAACTTCCAGACGTCACTTAGTACACCATTTTCTAACAACACCGACCAAGGAGAGAAAACTGAAAACACAAACAGTTCTAAATGACATTCTGACGATTTTCTTACTTCATTATCATCAGCAGACATAAAATTAGATGGATGATGTTTTGGCCGCACGTGATTGGTTCGTGATCACCCAAATCCACTACTAGAAATCCCATTGGCCAATTCTCCTCAACACTCTACAGAACAGAGCCAGTGAGTGTTAGTGTAGTTTTTTTTTTGTGAACACAAACAGCTGTTAAGTTGCAATGCAGTAATCGTCTGCTAGCTATATTTTTCCATTTTGTCAGCTGATTAGTTTAAAGGTTATGTTAGGTGTTGTCTTGTCAAGAAGTAGACTAGAAAGCAAGAATGCAGATCTGAGATCAAGAGAAAGTGTAAATATTAGTTTCTAGGCTTAAAATATAATCGATTTTGCATAGTTTCAGTGACAAAGGTTTCGCTGTTTCTCAAATTTAACTCATAAATCAATAAATAATTTATTTGACTAGATTAACATGAATGCCTTGGCTATGTAAGAATATATAAAATACAACTTGTATTAAAAACTAGAAAACATTAACTTAAATTTCGACCTTTTGTACATGCAAGGAAAAACATGAGTAGATGGAAAGAAGCTTCTTCTTTAATAATAACAACTGCATCCAAAAGTAAAGTAGGTAAAAAATCTCCCATCACTCCTAATCATGAGAAATATAATTTTGATATTTTAGCATTGAAAAAGAATGAAACATTGCCATCTGGAAATCCTCAGATCTGTGTTTTCCCTGGAGGTTCACTTAGTATTGCAGACTCAATTCAAGATTGGGAAGGCTTATTTACTGAGTTTGGTCTTAGTTTAAAATGTATGGGTAATGGATCAAGGCTTCCTATATTTAGTTCAAATAGGGAAGGTGTTCCAAGGTGGCTGTCACTAAAGATTACTGCAATCAGAGAGACTTTTGAGGAATGTGGTCTTTTACTATGTAAAAGTATAGGTCAATTGCCATCAGAAGCAACTGATAATGTTTTGGCCAAAAGTACGAACCATTTAGCCATAGATAAAATTGATTCATGGAGACAACGAGTCCTAGAAGATCCATATCAGTTTTTCTCTTTATGTGAAAGTTGTAAATGCTATCCAGATGTTGAAAACTTGGTTCTTTGGAGCAATTGGCTCACTCCAAGCCATATGAATGAACGATTTGATGCCGTTTTCTATTTTACTCATTTGAGAAATTTGAATTTAGCTAATGTGACTCCTGACAACAAAGAAATATCATCAGCCGAGGTAAATATATATATATATATTTTTTTTATAAAACATTATTTAACCTATTTTTTTACCTACCTACAGTATTTTATTTTAAACATTTGTTCAAAATAATCAAGCTAAACAAGTATGAGAAGGTTTTTTTTTAGGCAAGGCTATTGTTTAGCAAAACACCCGAGGGTTAACGGACGTTGGTATAACCCCTCCAGTACTCTTGCCGGCATTGGCACTGAACATGAGATCCATGTTATAGTGAACAGGGCTGTTCTGATCGCTTTAGTTATTCTAACATAATTCATGGCCAGGAATTACCCGTACACTGTAAAATATAGCCTACCTATTTCATTGGCTTTTAACATAATATAATAACATTGACTATATAACACTAGTGTTACATAGTCAATGATAATAACCTAATAATAATGCTCTGTTTTAGTGGCTCTCCCCAAAAGAACTGCTTGACCTGTCTAACAGAGGAGATATTTTTCTAAAGCCACCTCAGTGGTATGAGATAAACTCTCTACAAAGTATAGAAACCTTCGATGGTCTAAATCGACTGATCGGTCACAAAAGTAGTAACTGCCATTTATGGATGCCAGTAAGGATACATGCAAGTGATGGAGAAATTTCTTTGCTTCCAGGTAATTTTTAATGATGGTACCTTAAGTATAGGTACATGTTTTCTTTTTAGGTGAGAGAAATATATTTTTTGTTCTGTAGCACATTTTACAGTGCATCAGTATTTGTTTATTTTTTTATATAGGTACTGAACACACAGGCCTACAAGCTTTTTTTCATAAAAGGTACATTTTTCATTAGCCCTAAACCAGGGGTTCCCAACTGACCCAGAATAGCATCATCTCCCTTGATATTAAATAAATAAATCTTTATTGTCACATAACATTTAAATATAATATAATATTAAGTTTAGGCCCTATTTAATTTAATATGGACTTTATTAATCTGGATTGCTTGAATCTCAATTTTACCAGATTAACTACTAATTTGAAGCCAGAACCACTTGGGCTATGTGGTGTTGAACAATTCCATGCACAATCAATATTCTAAATCAACTTCAAGAAATATTTCATATTGGAGGACATTATTTTAAACGTTTTTACTAGCTCGCTTTCTTGTCTGTTCAGTACAAATTTTGCAATTGATTTTAAACCAACTTCCCAATGAGCTTTTAAAATATCACGTTTTCAAATGCACTAAAAAGTATAAAATAATTTAGAAATATAAGAAGAGGAAGAGGGGTTTGTGACTGTGGGGATTTCCCCACTTCTTGAAGAGCTTCGACTTCTTCTGATGTTATGGCTCATGGACTGGGTCGGGCCATCTGCCCTGGTAGCTCAGCTACCTGTCAGTGCTTGTTGGTTGAGGTGATTTAGTCTATCATCTGAGGGCGGAGTTGGTTGCTGGAGGAGATCCCTGATGTGGTCCCAAGACATCACGTCTGCTGTCTGTTGGAGTTTTGCTGTCTGGATGTCAACGAGCTGTCTGATGGTCGGGATCTGGGCTTGGAAATGTGGACAGAATAAATACTTGTATGATTTAAAACAAAAAATGTTAGGCGCGTGCAATAAAATAATAAAGATAATAATATAGAGGGGATATTCGTAAATTAGCTATTTTATGCACCCAGCGTTTTTCGTTTTAAATCTTACAAGTATTATTCTCTCCACATATTTCTAAATTATTTTATACTTAATAGTGCGTTAAAAAGCGTGGTATTTAAAAAAAGTTATTTTACTTATAAATTTCTTTTGTGCATGATATACATAGACTATTGAAAGTTTGTTTTATTAATTTGTTTTCTATTCCAGGAGATGATATGTATCCTGATGATGTTGACCCGTTCTTCCCCACTCCAATATTAAGGAAGGGACAGACAATATCTTCATTGAGGTGTAAGAAGATGCACAGAATGGAACACTTTGGTCCAAGGATTGAGATCTTAGACACTAGGTCAGACTCTGGATCTGTCTGATTTCATAAATTCTTTACTTTATTCTGAGTCTAAAAGCTGTTCTTTCAGCTTCTTGGCCGTTGTATGATGGAACGCCATTACTTCAGGTTTTGGATGCGCCAGTACTAACAACATATCTGTGATTACTACATATTTGTAAATTGAAAAGGTGAAAATATCATGTGGTTAAGGGTGCGCTCTACCTCAGCTCAGATTTCTAAGTACGGTTGCTTAACCTGATGTTCCTATACTTTGCACTAAAGAGCGCTTGCAAGCGTTTTGAATCTGGGGGATTACATCGTTATCCTTAAAAATTTTAGTAAACTAATAATTGCAGATTCTTGTTTTTAAGAATCTATTGCACTTCCCCCGTCTGTTATTTTATTCTCTAAAAATTATTTGTATGTGTTAAAACTCATGATAAAAACGTGTATTTTAACATTTTTACCAACCTTTTAGCCCAACATAAAAATAAAATCTAAATTAAAAAAAGCGCAGGACCTACAATAATATTTAACAAAAAATATGACACCAAGATCTTTTAAATTGGGACTACAAACAGTAAGAACCAAAACCCTTGCACTTGCGTGCCAGACGGGTTGAGCGCAGCCTTAACTCTGTCAACTGTTTAATGATTTAGGCTTGAAATACAAATAGATGACATAGGTGTATTTTTCAATTCAAATTAGGAACACAATTCCTAGAATGTTCTAAAAAATATTTACTAATTTCTAGTATCCTTATAATAGACCTTAAAAAATAGCCGTTGTCTTGTTTTATTTCTAATAATCTTTTTAAGCCAATGATTTATAATGCTTCTCAATACTTCAGATTACAGATGCAGATAGATAGATTTCTCGGACTTTGATTTTCACAGATAGGTAGTGGATATATTTTAGTACCATGTTATTTTTATGTTTTAAAAACTTTGTACACACTTTACTTACAAATAAGTTGTTTGTTTTTTTAAGTAATGTATAGTAAAATTGTGTGAATAATTAAATTTTAATTTGTTCATTTTGCAATGTTTTGCTTGTCCTAGGCCACGTTTAATCCTGTTAGGTTACGATAGTGGCCATTAACACATGACAGACTTTTAAAGATTACTTTAATTGACACTATTCAATGTACCAATTGACACTATTCAATGTACCAAGCATGTACAGATGACGAATAAAGATATTTTTATTTGATTTGATTAAGTTTGTTTAAAAAATTCTAAGGTGAATATTTCCAAATGTTAAGCTTTGTTTATAAAAGGAACTCATGTAACTGCAAATAAAGGCTCCAGGTTTTAAGTTGTTGCCGTCTCCTAGTCAAAAATTTGTTCGTTTTAGAAAATTTTAAAATAAAATAAAGCAAAACAGTTTTTTTTTTCATTATTCAGCATTATAGAACCAGAACTCTGCCTTGCGACAGTAATATGGTAAAGTAAAATAGTGTGGGAATATGCTTGTGTGTAATATTTTTTAAACCACAGTATACAAATTTTATAACATTTAAACTTGGACAGTTACAACTAAGTTTGTTGATAGTGTTATCTCCCAATACTTGGCTCAAAATACCTATGTCTCACCGTTTCTGGTATTTATATACTTTATGACCTACACCGCATCCCGGTCAAGGTCGAGCTTCTTGGCGTGGAGAATACCCTGGATGTAATGTGACACACAGGTAAATTGTCCTCACCCTCCGTCATCATTGGTATGACTCTGTCCACCTACAGCAGTCCTACTAACTTTTGAGCCTCCAGGCGGGACCTTTCCCAACGCTGGCAGTGGGTATGTTCCACGACATCGGGTATGCCTGACGAAAACCCATTATCATTGGAAATAAAAGTATTCAATAAACTCACATTTCAAAAGAAGCGAACAATTATTTAAAAACTTTGAAAAATATCATTTTAGAAAAAATTATATTTTGAAAAATACTCCATTATCCAAAAAGATTTGATAAATTAAATTCTTTTAAATAGTAATTTTGTATGATTGCTTTATCATCTTTGAATTTCAAAATGTTATTATACTATTAAAGCATAAGTTATTTCTCGTTGAGTGTTAAAAACTACCTTCGAATTTGTTTAATTTTTATTGTTACATTGTTATGATTGTTCACAGTTCCCATTATGAAGTAAAGATCAAATGTATATACCTAACCAATGAATATTATTTTGTGCATTTAAAACTTCCTGGAGCATGTTACTGTCATCATATGTTCAAAAAAGTTTACCAATTCATAATATTTACAACCAAGTACTACAGTTATTATGATCCAAATTATTTTGAGGCTTTTTTTGTGGACTAAATCTAAAAGTGTATAAGCACCAATCCAATTTCTTAGATTAAATCAATGTAAAATTTAATGCTGTGATACAAGAGACAGAATAGTAAGATGGTGTTTCTTTTTTCACACAGTCAAAGCCATTCCTTAATTGATGAAGAAAAGCTATGTTTGCAAGTTTTGTTGGTGACCTTCGCGATATGCTTCATTTATTTAGTTACCAGATCTATGAGATTTGTTGAGGAACAGTTTGACAAAACTTCTAAGAAGATCACCAAATTAAGGGCCAGAACGAGTGACGTGTTGAAGCATCAGCAGCCAATTTGTGAAAATATTCTACATTACAATCTGGCCAGGTACCGTCATAATATTATAGCCAGTTACCTCAAAGATTTACTAGATGATAATCAAAACAGTTCTGACGAGTTATCAAATCTTTATCAATGTTATCCTCAAAAGGTACAACATAAACAAAAGTTAAGCTATGAAGCAAATTGCTCACAGATGTTTGATTTGATTTCAAAAATCAGTAACCAAAAACCTTTAAGGAAAGATGTGTCTGCCAATAAGAGTAGTTTACTAATCAACACCAATAAACAGGGAATTACAAGTAGTCAACACTGCCTGGAAAATAACGCTGTGAAAGGCAAACAAGGTGAATTGATGAACTGCCAACTATCGAAGCTTTGTAAAACACTGGAAGGTCCCAAAAGATATTCTTTTTTTGAAGAACAGAAATCAAAAATACCAAAAAGGAGCGTAGATTTTAAGAATAGCAAAGAGAAATTTCACAAGAACTTTACAGTTTATACAGCTCTTATTAATGCTCAGCCAACATTTAGAATAAAATCCCAAATTAAACAATCTAAACTAGCTAATCATAAAACAAAGCTAGCTAACCTAATTATGAAAAAGAGAAATACAAAACTTCCTGAGATGACCTTATCTACTACTCCAGCAGTGATCTTAGGTGAAGATAATAAAAAACTAATTAAACATCCAAAAACATGCTTTGAACATCAAGATTTACATGAAATTGCCAATAACTCCGAGAATTATTCCAACTTAAGTTCCACACGAGAAACTGACTGTGATTCAGATATCAGCAATGACCTATCTTCTCAGGGGTCGTTCTGTGATGTACTGAGTCTACAAAACATTCCTCTAACAACCATAAATGAGGAATCAGCAGAAGAGAATTGTCCCTCGGAATAAATTAATAGGTAAAAACCATCTTTGTTTACTTTAAATTGTTTATCCTACACAAAATTGTAAATAAAAAAAATCTGTTAAATAAAGTTCTTACACATTGTCATATTTTTGTTAATTTAGATGGGGTTGGATCAAATACAGTCGTTTGATTTGTATGCCAAACTAGTTGCAAGGCAAGGGTATAGCTACTAGCGAATACGAATAGTAGTGCTGGTTGCAGTAGCGCCAGTCAAATTTTTTAAGCGACCGGCGCTACTAATTGGGACCGACGGGATTGATTTGTTTAGTATCTTATATAACTAAACTATATACAGTATATCTATTATATTATTAAAGTGATACAATCAAATTTTATGTAAACGGTTAAGACCATTTACCAAATAAAAATATAGGCATATGGCACATCAAAATGAAGCTTAGAGTATGTAGATTTGCCGAAAAGTATTGAAATGGGTGAATTTCCTAAGGGCTCTGCCCCACAGGCTGATTTCCAAAGGGCTACGCTTGGCATGCTTCTAAAGTTTAGATGATTTTTTAATTTAATTTAGTTCATGAAACAGCTGGTCAGTACAATGAACTGGTGTTTGTTTATTTACTCGAAAAATATGTTTGTGGTGCTTTATGTAGATTGAGGAAGGTTATGTTTGGTTTTAAAGAAAGGTTGTATACGTTTTGTAAAGTATTGCTCAAAGTTTCATTTTGTAATTTATATAGTAAGCTACGTATAAAGAGGCTTGACTAAAATTGAAGAATTATGGTAAAACATGTCATTCATGAAGCATCAATATGAAGCAATTGATGATATTGCTACACTGAGGTATGTTGTCATATTCTTTTGGATCCATTAACATTAAAAGTAGGGGTTTGAAAGTAAGTAGGTTTACACTTTTAAATTCGTTTATATTTTCATACTAAATCATAGAGTTGTTGTATTTTAAAACACAAATCAGCACCACTTTAATAGCTCTCTGGGTCACATTTTCTTCCCGTTGCAACGCACGGGTATAGCAGCTTGTATACAGTTAATCATTTACTACCACAAAGTCTTCTTTCTACATCAATTACAATTCCATAATACCCCCGCCACAGCACAGCTCCAGCCTAAGCGAATTTCCATTTGTGTGACTTTATTTTCAATTAAATCTAATTCAATAACATTAGGTTTAACGAGTATCTAGGTTATGCTGCTACAGGGAGGGTTACGAAGTGTGATTTTAGGAAAATACTATTAGCTTAGTATAGAATTAATAAATTTGCCAAGTTTGATAAAAATATATTCATAAATATTTAAAGGAATTAAAGAATTTTGTCAGCTGTTTCAACTGCACAAGTTAGTTCTATGATATTAAATAGCATTAACAGGTTTTAAGGTTTACCTACAGAGTGCAGCACTATTATTTTTTTTTTCATTTATGACAACAGCTAATTTGAACCAAATAGCAACAAAAAGCTATGGTACACAATGAGACCTTTACTTTTTTCTATGGTTCAAGGGCAGTGGTAGAACAAAAGAACCAAACAAGCTGCGTCTTACCGATAATTCAAGATGGCAGGAGGACGAATTTAAGTATCGTTTAGGGGGAAAAACTGCGTATTCAAAATAAGCGGATAAAGAATGTCTCAATTAACAATGTATTTGTTCAATTATTGTCCTAAATTATTTCCACCATTAATGAGAGAACAAACTGTGAGATGTGAAACATTCCGTGCAATAAGCATTTGATAATTATATGCCAACCCCGTACGAAGGACGGGTACTCTGCTAGTACTGCATACCACACAGTTGGTCACCTCCTCATCTTAGTTGTGGTGTAAATAGAAACTTCTGTGCAGGGCCGCCGAGAGAAATTCTAGGCCCCTGTGCAAATTGCAACTCGGGCAAATACTCATTGTATTGATACATTTAAGGAATTAAGAATATTTACAGTGGTAAATCTTTATATCTTTCAAACAATAATGTAAGTAAAAACAATGGGGATAACCAATTAAAATTAGAAAATGTGCACTGCTATGACTCAAGAAATAAAAACGATTTTGTACTCAATCACCACAGAACTAGTCTATATTAAAAACAACTTGCATATGCTGGAATAAAATTTTACACAACTTACTACATTAAATTACAATTTTAACAGATCCTATTTTTTTAGAACATTAAACAACATCCTTCTAGATCATCCAGTACACTCAAATATAAACCAGAATATCCTTATATATAATACGTGAAGGCGATTTCTACGAAACACTACTCCTCCGTTAATAATGGACGGATTTTTTACAAACGATGTGTAAAAATGAAGTATTGTTTGTGTAGATGCCCCCTTTCACCAATTCCTGTAATAAAAGTCATCTGGCTTTGCCCCACAGGCCATCAAAATCCCAATGTACTTCTTATGGATAAAAGATTTTGTTTACTTAAACCATAAACCGACGAATAGTTTGTATTAATTACAGCTGTTCATAGTAAACACATGATACACACAAGAGCGTTCGTTTTCAGTTTCGATAACTGGAGTGGAGTGATTGATTACATTATCTTTGAGTTGACTCTTTTAAATCATCGGAAATTATGACTGTTATTTGTTTTTAAATAAGGCCCGACTTTGCAATTGCTCGAATTTGAGCAACAGTTGCACTAGTTGTATATATTATTTGGTTTCTAACTTAAATAGTCAGATAACTTGTGTTATTTTTTCTAGATAATATTTTGTGATTTCTTTTTACTTTTGGCACTTTAAACATTAAGCAATTATACACTGAGTAGTATAAATTCATGTTTAGTTTTAGTCATTTAGTTAGTTTTAGTCTTGTTGCCATTCATGTAAAAAAGATTTTATATTGAATAAAGTGAGTTTGAATCTTGACTAGGATAGTGTAATAAGTTTTTATTCTTACAATAAATCGTTAAAAGAAAGCTACCTTAATTGAGTTTCACTAAAGCGTTGAGCAGTTGCAGACGCTATGACGGCCCGCTTCCGTCACTTCGAAAACCTGACAGCACACAGCCAACAAAATAACAAACACACAGACA